TACTAGAATAATCGTTATATTATCATACACATGTTAACGCAGTATAGTGCATCATCATTGTATCATCATTAGCATTATGAAGAACACTAAGCTGCTCCTAACTACTACCACTACTAGGAGTAGTAGTATATATCTTACTTGATATAACAACCTCTACTTTATCATCATCATCATCATCATCATGATGATCGTTGTTATTATTATAATCGTTTTAAAGCGGCCGATTATTATTTACTCAATCGGCCGTTGTTATATCACTGGTAGTATAAGGTTATATTTTCTAATGTTACTAATAGTATGTGGATGTTGACTATGTTAGTATGACTACATGTTATGAACATCATCATCATCATTACGACATGATGATGAGGATAAGGAAAGCAGCTATGATAGATAGGATGTATGCTGCCAGGCTACATCACGATGATGATGACGACTATGAGGATCAACAAGAATATAATGATGATAATAAAGGGAAAGACTGGTAATGATTATTATTACAGGTCCCTACCTTAAATGTAGTATCTGCAGGTCTACTACACATGATGATATCATCAACAACAACAACAACAATACTCAATTTATGGGATATAATAATAATACTTATATTAGCATAAAAAATTGTATAGAATATGATGATGTAAAGGATAGTTTATCATCTCGACGACCCTGGGAGAGATTACATAGAGTGATAATACAACGGTATAATGATGCTGCTATAAAGATACAATCTCTATTCCGCTCATATATGGAACGTATTAAGGTAATAATAATAATACGGTATTCATAATAGTAATAATAATAATGATTATAAGAAGGTTATACCCGAATATCGGTATAGAATACAAGCAGCAATTGTTATACAAGTATGGTGGAGACATTATTCATTGCTTATGGTAATAGTACTGATATGATATATAATTGACATTCATATTCATCTACTATCACCATATTAGTTACTTAAACGAAGACGTAAAGTGCGTATTCTTTGGAATGCATGGTATATGACTATCTCAACAACAACAATGCATCAACCCCAACATCATCATCATAATACTAGACTGTCAATACAAGCATTATGTCATCGTCGTCGTCGTCGTCCTTGATCATTTATCAAGTATATGTTGTGTTAGTAGTATTATTATGATTATAGTGTATGGATATATAGCTGTATGGTATTAGCTGGTAATGAACAACGAGCTTTTGATGAACTCCTAAAAGGGGAGATAGGACATTTTCGTAGTGAATTAGGATTAGATAATAAGAAGGATATGGTCTCCTCTAAATGGATACCTTTGTAATAATAATAACTATATACAATCTATATTGTTAATTATCATTAATAGATTCCTCTACTGTACAACTGGTGAGATCTTTAAAAGCCGATTCCAGAAGAAATTGGCAACGATAACAATACAGGAGTTGGTTACATTACCCCAAGCTGATCCGCATACTATATGTAATAATAATAGTAATACTGGTAATAATAATAAGACTATCTAACTTAGTGAATCTAGAGACTAATGATGATGATCATCATCATCATTATAGTTGTACTCCTATACAGTTAGCAGTCACTGCAAGAGATGCTGAATACGGAGTTAACGTACTACAAGCGTAAGAAGAGCAGCAGGAGGAGGAGGTTCTTATCATCATTAATATAATGATGTTGTAGATTATTAAGTATAGCAGGATGTCGTGATAGAGCAGTAATGCCTACAAATGATGGTTATACACCATTACAGTTGGCAACATTACGTAAGAATTCCAAGATGGTGGAATTATTGGTATTAACATACTACTCTATTATACTCTATCTATAATAACCCTTTAGGAACCACTTACTATGGCACAACCGAAGTGTATACAAATTAATAATGAAAAGGAATGTGATGATAGACTAGGATCTACAAAAAGAATACCATCATCATCGATGCCTCCTCATACACGTGTAAGAGCGACTGCTGCCAAGAGCAAGCCAGACACATCTAAGAGGAATAAGAATAATCATACTCTTGATCACAATGATGATGATGACGTTATATCCTACCATACCATCAGGAGTTCATCATCATCATCACAAGAAGTAGTAGGGGTTGTTATTATTAAGTATGAGCATATTGTCGTATGTTGTATCTTTAGAATATGATTAATCAAAGACGTAATAAGAGGCGGAGGAAGGCATTAACCATACCTGGTAGTAGTAGTAGTAGTAGCATGGATAATAATAATTATTACTGTTCACCTTTTTCTTATCATTATTGTTGCCAGATGGTGGTGTTGGTGGTGAAGTAGCAGTATCATCGTCATCTAGCCTCCTCCTATATTGTTGTGTGTGTCAACGAGAAGAACATAACAACAACAACATCATGACTGGATTCCTCAATAATAATAGGTAATAGTACGTCGTTCTAGTAGTCCCCGTTGGTTATATTATAGTGGTAGTCTGTTGTATAGGTCATTATTAAAGTGTGAGAAGTGTGGTAGATATGCTCATAGTACATGTTATAGAGGTTTTGTTACTACTAAGGGGGGAGGATCAACAACAACAACAACAAGTGGTGGTGGTAGGGTATCCTGTCTATCCTGTCGAACAGTAATACCAATAATCATCATCATCATTCTCATTGTAAGATTATGTATTTATTATTCTTATTCTTAGGGATCATCCTTAGCATTTAAATGTGGTATATGTGGATTAGATGATAAGACAGGATCCTTTATGGTTTATCGTAGTGATTTACCTGGACAATTCGTTCATATTAGATGTGCATTATTCCTAAAACCCGATAGAGTAATAATAAATGTTATTAGTATTATTATTGCAACAACAACATTATTACAGTTACATGAAGATGCTCTTGAATGTAGTGATAAGTTACATATTATCGGTAACTTAGTTAAGATAGGTAGACGTAGACAATGTGTAATATGTTCAAAGCCAGGTGCGGTAAGTAGAAGTATTATTATTATAATATCTACCCGTTATTATTAATAAGGTACGCTGTGGATACCCTGGTTGTAATGTACGATATCATCCTAGCTGTATTGATAATGCTATTCATACTGGTAATAATAATGATACGTATAAAAGGATAATAAGAGGACCTGGTATGAAGAAGCCTGTTAGTGTTACCATTAAGGATGAGAACTTCCAAAGGATGACTAAATGTGGACATACTTATCTCAGAGTGTAATAATCTTCACTATTACTATCATCATCATCATCATGATTATGCTTATATGGTGTATAGTATTGTTATTGATCTTATTTAGATTTTGTGAAAAGCATAAGAATGGACTATGTATATGTGGTAAGATGATTAAGGATGGAGAGGATACTCTTGATTGCCGTCTTAAAGGTCATCATCATCAGTATGTCAATGATGATAATCATTATTAAACTCAGACGAGGGATGTATATACGGTACGTTACATAAGGCCTGTATGAAGATGATGATAACAACTATAAAGGATAATAACAATGATAGTAGTAGTAGTACTCTTGTTGATGGTGGTCGTGGTCGTGGTCTGTGCCCACACTGTAGTATTCCTATTATTATTGGTAGTTATTATTATTGTATATATCTTCAGGTGATTTCTGTATATCATCATCTGGTAAACTTCCTAATGGTCCATGTTGCTCTACATGTGTATTTTGTGTATATGCATATCGTGATAGGTAATAATAATACTACTACAATATGAGTAATTATAATATTCATTATTATTATTAGAACTATATCATCTGATGAGGAATCAGGTGGAGAGGAACTAGGCCAATCTGATGCTCATATGCATATAGCTGTGTTACCTAAATATAGACCACCACCAGAAACTACTCGTAAGAATAAGAACAACAGGAATCAACAACAACAACAAGAAGAAGAAGGAGAAGAACAGATAGGACCATCGCGTCGACGACGACAACGACAGCAGCAGCAGTCTTCATCAATAATGACGATGATGAATGTAATACATTATAATATGGTTGTTGCCTCTATTCTTTATTAGGATGATGATGATGATGATCATGATACATCATCATCATCAATATACGGTATACTCCCACCTAGAAGGAGTAGGAGGAGGAGGAGGACTGTTGTAACTCCATCATCATCATCATCATTAGAATGTGTGGTACGTGCTTGTATCGGCGATGATGAACTGGTGATAATGTTTATTACTGATCTATTGGTGATAGTATTATTATTATCTTTTAGGCATCCTGGATGATGATAGATATTTTGGATAGGAATTCTATTAGGACTATAGACGAGTTGAAGACTTACCTTTCATCACGATCGGCACTTATAATACCCAAATCCCTCCGCAATGTAATATACTTGGTATAAATTTATGAATATTCATCGTTTCTCAGGAATTGCGTTATCATTGTTCACTTTTGGAAGAACATCCAACCGATGATGATAATACAGATATGAAAAGAGAACGTAGTTGATTTTATCTCTAGATGAACTTTGATGTTTAAGTAGTTGTGTACAATAACAACACGAACCGGTGGTTATATAATTTCAATGTTTTATCATTCCTTCCCAATAGTGTAAACAACCCAAGAAGCGACGCAACGATATAGGATATCTCGCGGAAAATACTCCTTAAGCCTCTGGGTGATGTTGCAATCGCGAAGCGAGCGGGGCATATACCTCAACAACAGGTTCTTTCGTGTTGTGCATGCGTGCAGAATTATTCTGACTTTACTACGAAGCGTGGGAGGTCACCAGATAGATCGAAAGGCCCCTCAGCATGGGAAAAATCGGAAAACTCGATTATGTGAACAGCTCGAAGAGATATATATGCACGAAAAACTTGAACGACATAGAAATGTCCTACCCGGGGATCGAACCGGGGCCCTATGTCAAACTCCTAGTACAATACGACCTTCAAAGTACTGATACCCTATTGAAACCTGCTGCCTCAGTAGCAGCATGATGAAGTACACCTATGTGATGGTGCATTGATATGTTATAAGATACTCCGTCATACTAAATGTTTTAATCAGGAAAACTGATATACTTGATGTATCATAATAATGGATAAATGCGGTAGGATACATTTGACTGAGAGTACAGTAACTAGTTCTTACTGCCATCATCACATTATAACGTTTTTACTTTGGTGATTTGAAGGAGTGACTATCGACTTGTTTTAGCAGAGTATAAGCAGCCTGTAGGATAATAGGATGAGGAGGTACCAACGTCCCATACGGTTTACTATCATCATCAATACACTACTAACCACATTCTACTATATTCCTTTTATTGAGTATATGGTCAACTAAAGCAATAACAAGACTGATAATAGTAATAATGATGATAGTATGATATAGGAAAGAGTAACAGAATGTTGTTGAATAATGGATAATACAGAAGCATCACTATTATGATCAGATGATAATGATAGAATAATGCATATTATCATTATTAGGATGCTGGTTGATTCGATGATAATGATGATGAAGGTGTACCAGTTATAACTTCACAGAATTTATCGAATGATATACCTTCCGTATGTGGATGAGATATACCAGCCTGTAAAATGGTACTCAGTATGATAGTAGTTATAGTGGTATTATTATTATTATTACATCTTTAAATATTCCAACTAAATCATCATCAGTAACAGCACTTCCATCAGCATTAGATGCCATACCTTCATGTTTCAATACCTCCTTTAAACCTATTATTAATAACTAGTCGATATCATCATGATGGTGATTGGGAATAATAGTAATACCTTGTAGAGTTATCTCTCCTGTATGAAACACATCAAGACGTTTGAATACTTCTTGTAATTGTAGTGTATCAAATTTAATCCTATGTTCACTCATGGCTGCTATAAACTCATTGTACCTGTTATTATTATCATATGTAATACTGTAATGATGATGATTATTACCCAATAGTATCCTCTCCTGATCTTCCTAATGATGACATAATCTCATCTACATCATGTGGATCTACTGGATAGCCCAACTAATAATAAACATTAGTAATAATAATAGGGATATGATAATGATAATGATGAGGTTGTTGTTGTTATTATTACCTGTTGCATACCTTGTACCAATTCATTAGCATCAATAAATCCATCACCATCTCTATCTACTGCCATAAACTTCTTACGCATATCTTGTATTTGGAATTCAGTAAGCTCTTTAGCCAGTAACTATACCATAATAATAATACCACTAATACTCATTGTTATTATTACTACCTGTAATACAGCTTGTTTAAGCTTATTATGAGAATGATAGTTTTTTAATCCTTCAAATACAGATATTGTCAATTGTGATTGATGACCATGTAATTGTGGTTTTAATGGATCAAGAAACCACCTAACATCATTATCATTACCATAAATGATAGTAAGCTGTTCACTATTCCACCACCACCACCACCTAACATTACTTATGTTTTAATGCCTCAGCTGCTGATAATCTCCCTTTGGGTACATTGTTCCTCCATTGTTTATTTAATAACTTCTTACATAAATCTTTAGCATCAGCTGATAATCTATCCCATAAATGTGGTGGATATTCTACTTCTCCTAAGAACATAACAATAAGACTAACCCCACAACATCATCATCATCACGATAACACCGTATGCTAATAGTGATTAATATTACGTTTGAGTATCTTAGCCTTAACTGTCTGATCATCATCAACATTTGGTATATAGAATGGATGCACCCCAGTTAACAGCTCATACTGATTATTATAACATCATTAGCATCAGCTCTTTGTTGTTGTTATTATTATTACTAGTATAACTCCTATACTCCAGACATCTGTTAATTCATTATAATCTCCTTGTATCATCTCTGGTGACATAAAGTGTGGTGTACCAGCTCTTTGCATAACAAGCCTAGTTGTATACTCCTTCACTACCTTCTTACCCTTTATACTAGGCATTATCTTGGCTAATGCACCCGATAAACCACCTAACCATAATAATAATAATAATAACAACAACAACAACAACAACTACTACTACTACTACCACTATTACTATTACTACTACTACTACTACTACTACTACTACTACTACTATTACTATTACTGGTTGTAGTAGTACCTTTTTCAACTTTCACTTCCCTTTTGTTAGACTCAAGTTGTTCCAATGTACAACTTAATCCGAAATCAATTATCTTCAAAGGGGATTCCCTGGTACCTACTTATTATTATCTAGTGAAAAGTAGCACTATGATGAGAATGATTATTATTATTACGATTAACAAATAGTATATTCTCAGGTTTAAGATCTCTATGTAATATACCCTGTTTGTGACAATAGGCTATTGCTGATAATATTTGTTGCATATACCTACATATCATCATTAATACTACTATTACTATGATGATCATCAATATCATATTATTATTATTATCACTACATCGCGACTTGTCCTTCAGTCATTGGACTATGTAATCTCTCATAATGATAATCTATTCTATTCTGTAGTGATCCCCCTTCACATAATTCCATTATTAAATACATATTAGAACCTGAACTCCCGTAAGAATAATAATAATAACAGTAATATTATTATTACCATCAACATAGGTCTCAAATAACTTTAGTATATTAGGATGATCCAATGATTTTAATAAATCAATCTCTGTTTGTATAAGATCCCTTTGTTGTGATGAATGTAACTACATATGATAATAATAACAACTATACTACTACTACATTATACGTAGTATTGGGTATTGTTATTATTACCCCCATAGCCTTGCATGCTCTCACATGTTTAGTTATCTTATGGCGTACAACTAATACCTTACCAAATGCACCTTCCCCTGCTTTATCGAAGAATTCATAATCATCGAATATAGCAAGCCGACTCTGATTATGATTACAATATGATAATGATGATGATGATGAGTGAGTTATTATTATTACCTTATAACTAGGATACATTACAGAATCCCGTAGATTAACTCTCCTACTATTATTACTACTACTAGATCCTATACCAGTACTAGGAGTAATTGCATGATTGATATCTCTTAGTAGTACTGCTGTTGTAGTAGTAGTAGTAGTAGGAGGAGGTGGTGGTGAGGATGATGATGATGATGATGATGATGATGATATTATCGATGATAGTACACTGTTATTATGTGCTGATGTACTACGTCTTATCTTAACTGTAGGTTCATCATCATGACAACGCTTGTTAGCAGTAGGAGTAGTGAGAGATTGGTCATCTCGTCTAGTTGTGGTAGTAGGAATAATACTATAATATAATAATAACAACCATAGTGTTAGATAATAATACTATTACTTAGGGGCGCTTTTATGATGATGACGATGACCTGTCCTAAGTGATGATGCATCACGATGATGATGATGATCGCCTTCTTCTTCTTTTTCATGTGCAGTAGCAAGCAATGATGATGATGATGATCCTACTTTCTCATTACTAACTTCCTGTAGTGTATCTACCTTTACAATAGGCTCAGATACCTGTTAATACCAACTATTATTACTATCACTATCAGTCATTACCTGACTATCAATGAGGTCATCATAATCATCATCATCATCATGAGATGTATGATATCGATAAGTATCCTTGCCGCCCCTCCTCTTCCTCCTTATTATTTTCCTTGGAGTTGTATCTCCAACATCATACCCAATACCCTCTCCTGTTCCTGTTCCTCGTGGTTTACTACTACTAGTAGTAGTACTTGTATTAATAGCAGGAGCCGATAAAGATGCAGAATGTGATAATCTTTGTTCAGCCTTAGTTACTCTCCTTAATGCATGATGTTCATAGTATTGTAATACTATTTCTAGAAAATCATTATAATGTATCAAACCATCTTGATCTCTATCAAAATTACGGAATACAAGTTCATACCAATATTCATTTGGTGATGGTACTTCGCCTCGTAACTATAATAATAATACAACATCATTCTCTATGATGAATAATATTAGTAACTACTACTACCTGTTGGAATACGAATGATAATGCAGTCCTATTCTGTTGTAAATCAATATATCGACATTTCTCACTATCAACCCATCTAAAAATAATATATAAACAATACAATATAATAATGTTATTATTATTATTACCTGAATGCTGTATCACATATAGAATTAATAGCAGGTATAGATCTTATTTTAATACCAACCCTTCGAGCTCTAGCCATTAAGTTATCATTAACACTAGTATTACTACTAGTAATAATACTAGTAGTAGTATTATGATTATTGTTATTAGATGTTAATGATGTTGATGAAGGTGTGACATCTGTATTCACCACAATAACGATGATAATGATAATAATAAAAATATATTACCATTATTGTTATTATTCCGTTTACTACTAATCTGGGGATAATCATGTAGTATCTCACCATCATCATCATCATCCTTGTTGTCTTCAATTACATGAAGATACATATTAAAGAAATACTAATACCATACTTCTCACAACACTATTACTACTACTCAATGATTATACTCTCTTATAGCAGAAACGGTATAATAGCATATCTATGAGTAGGGTAAGTATGAGGAAACTTATATCTATACCATTTATCATTATTATAAGCATTAACCGATAAATTAAGTATAACAAATAATGTACAAGTGATGAATGGTTGTATTGTTGATAATAATATGATATTATTACATATATTATCAAGAATATAGTATAACCTAATAATACATAATGATGTATATATAATAATCTCACATGTGTAATGTGGACATGAAATATAATTAAATAATCCACCATTAGGTATACCATACTGCTTACTATTACTATTATTATTTAATCTAGCTAACTCCTTATGGGATCTATATTGCCAATACTGTGCTAATAAGTTAATAATAATAATCAACATCATCATACTACTGCTACTGCTGTTACTGCTACTGCTGTTGCTGCTACTGCTGTTGCTGCTGCCAATACCTGCTAATGATATACCACTAAGAGTAGTATTATTATCCTTCTTTTCAGCTGCTCTATTATTACTAATATCAGTAGGTATGATTATCGATAAAGGCATGAGTATATAGAACCTAATAGGTATGTAATATAGTATTAGTATTATTATAATACCCTATCCCTAGTATCCATGCTGATATATGCATTAATCCTCTATCATTAACTTTACTATATAGATACTTCTGTTCCAATACTCTCCTGTATAAATGTATTAATAATAACAATAATGTTATTATAACACCATATCCTGAATATCAAAATAATAATAATACAGTGATGATTCTAATGAATATGAATAATATCTTACTTTCCTGTTCATTCTTATACATAATAGGATAGTATAATATGAATATACTTATACATGTAGTAAAGATACTACCAACAACATAGAAGTCCAAGAAGTGAGTCTTGGATATGTATAAACTATTCAAGTAAGACCATAACTTAATCATAGTACCATCATAATAATGATGATAATATGTATTAGTAGTACTACTTCTTAGTTTACCATGCATACTCCATTCTTTGAGGCAAGGTACACTTAATGATAGCAATACTAATATAGTAAGAACTATCCAGATAGTATTCATAACCATATAAATAGAGAGAGAGGAGAGCAAGGAGAAGAGGAGTACCATAGTAAATGATGATGATGAACTATAAACAGATTATTGTTATTACCCTATTATCCTACAGTCACATTAGTTGGAAAAGCCGCACATTTCCTACGACCACAGAGTTCGGGTGAGGGCAGCAGAAGCCCAGTGTCGCGGCACCGAATGATCTGCTATTCTTATCGGGCGTGCGCGAAATGCTCCAGTGAGTAACGGCAGGCAGGAAGGCCAGAGGATAGATATATGATGCTGAGATTAAGTGTTAGAGTTGTCATTGTTGCTAATTAAATTGATACTATAAGCATGTGAGATAGATCCGTAGCCATCTGGCTCAAGTCTGTACTTATACTCTCCATTTTCACATGAGTACTAGTCGCGTTGAGGAACCGTCCAAACCAACCGAGTCGGCCGACCGTAACACAGACCGAAAGACCAGACTGCAAACCTGCGGCCCGTAAGCCAGGAACCGGAGACTATCTCGACGGAGGTCGTAGGCCACCGATGTCCAGTTCCAGGATAGGGCCGTAGGTATGGTGAGGTCTACGAGCCTGTACTGCGAGATGACCACGAGCTGTGCAGCTAAAAGCAAACTCGTGCATCATCTCCACCGTGGCGTGGAAGGGCGAGCTAAACTAACGTTAACAGCCGGAGGCCGAGGTGAAAACGTCTCACAAGACAATCGAAGGGTGGTCATGATAACAGTGAATCGAACCGGAAAAAATCTCACGATAGGATTATAAACAGTCAAGGGACTAGCGCGCGCCTCGGGCGCGCGTTGTGCTGACCCTCAGGCAGCGCAGGATTCTATGGCGCTCGCCTAGAATCTAACCGTTTCAATCAAAGGCTTTATTGGACTAAAATACTGGATTTAAGTTCGTCTGATCCTTGCGATCTACCCGTCCGTCTACTCTGGTGGTCTATCGTCGATCTCTATTGTGATCTCTATCTCGTCTACATATAGAACTGTATCTGATCTGTATTATCTATGCATTCTATTAGTGAGTCGCCGCATTGTGTTATGCAGCTGTCGGATTATGGGCTTACTTCTAGTGAACGCTTTACACCTGTGCAATCTACTTCGCACATCGAACCACCCTCCAGAAATTCTGAAATTTCTGGTATCTGTTTACGCCCATTGTCCGCACAATTTGTGCATATGTGATGGGACGTGCTTCGCTCCGCTGTGGCGCACGTCCCTATTCTGTGTGCGATCCTTCACTGTGTGCTACAGACCGTATCTGCGAGTACTGCAGCCGTTTCGCAGTATCTTTAGCTATTGGATATCGATCATACGTAGTTGTCGTATAAGCTTAGTTCAAGCTTACTACGAGCTCTGTACAAGTACACTTTACACGTAGTCCACTCGTGTTCTGTACACGCCTTCCACTCGTACTCTTATCCCCGTCATCTATCGTAGTGTCCCTGCGGTAGTCGTATTCTCTGGTTATCTCTATCTCGTACAGCCACCGCTCTGTACGTAGTCGGATATCTGGTTATAGCTTAGTCAGCTCAACTCCTTATACCCTAGGTGTGCTGGTTGTGTTCTTCTCATTAGTTGGGTCGGTTCACTCCTGCGACATCTTTCTGGTAGCAGCTCCTTGTTCTACGCCGCCTTCATTTACTTGGTCTGGTTATGAGTGGTCACGAAGACGGTGGTACGCCTAGTTCTCCTCGAGAGATTGGTATTGGTACTGATGAGACGTCAGCATCTTCCTCAAGCACGGGTACGGCTAGTACGCCCCCTACTTCTAACAACGCTTCCTCTGTGGCGAACGGTACGAACTCTCCAGAGCCTGCCTCTGTGAACGGTAATCCCGGATTGCCTCGGAAGCCTGCCATTGGCCTGATCAGCCATCACGTGTGTGAGAAGTTTAAGGGTTCTGTAGATCAAGACATACAAGAATGGTTTGGTACCTTCGAGATGGCTACCTCTGCCTGCGGTTGGAACGATGTTCAGCGTGGTACGTACCTTGGTCTCTATCTTACTGGTTCTGCACACCGAGTTTGGCGTTCGACCTGCCCTAAGGGCGATTATCAGACGGCCCGTGCTACTCTGCTCAAGGCCTTCGATAAATCCAAGACCGCTGATGCTGCTCTCTTACGGTTCAAGGAGTACGCCTGGGATGGCAAGATCACCTTGTCGGAGTATACGGCGAACTTATCGCAAGCCCTTCAAGATTATAGTGCCCTGCTCCCGGACGACTCGAAGATTCCCCCTGCTGTGTTGGAGACTCTACTGATTGACCGTGTTTGCGAGACAGCTACTGGTTCGGCTAAGGCAGAGATGCGTCGGCATCGCCCCAAGACATTCCGTGAAGCTTGTGAGGTCCTGGACGCTTACTCGGAAGACGTGACTGCCAATGCCACCTCTCGTACCCAACAAGTGAATGCGGTGGCGTCTCCCTCTCCCGAACGTGTTGACTCAGAGAACATCTCGGCGGTATTGACGAAGGAGTTCGAACGGCTGGCTACTGCCATGACTAACGCCCTGACTCATGTTGTACGCCCTGCCCAGGCTGGTCAACAAGCCCCGGTACAACATGCTGGTAATCGTGGTAAAGGTAATGGTGGACGATTCCAACAACAACGTCGTGGTGGATGTGGTATCTGCGGTGGATCTCATCGTACACCTACTTGCCCGTTTCGCAAGTACGACACTGGTTGTATGATCTGTGGTAAGGACGATCACATGGCTCGCAATTGCCCTGACCACCCTTCACGTCGACCTATGGCCTCTTTGGTACAGAGGCAGGGAAACTAGCTCGGCAGCCGGTTAGCGGTGACCGGTGTGCCAAAGCTAAATTAGATGATGTTATACTACGAACGTTCGGGGGTTCGTATGGTATGTATCTGTATACCCGGTTAGAGTGTAGTGGACGACATTCTCCTTTTATCTGTGCTCTGGTAGATAGCGGTGCTAGTTTAACTATAGTTAAGAAGAAATTTTTACCTGCTGGTTGTCAAATACGACCAGTTTCAATGACGACGGTGACGGCTCTACCTTCGGTAAGTTTGGCCTTTCTCGGTACGGCCACGGTCACTATCAATTTTTATGATTCCCCTACTATGTTGTCGCAACCCTCGGGACGCATGCTCTCGTCCCCTGGGGATGCTTCAGCAGAGATGACGGTCTACGTGGTGGACGATCTGTCGGCGGATATGTTATTAGGGTACGATTGGCTCTGGCGGTTTGGTCTCGGACTTCAAGCGGATGCTACTGGGTTTTGCATCAAGCACGTGAAGACCTCGGCCCCGATCCGCAGCCCGACCCATGTTCCGCCCGGGGTCGCTCTGAGGCTGACGTTGCCTTCCCTGTACGCTTATAGGATACCATCGTCGACCACTACTACAGAAGACCCTGTTGAGCCACCTCCGATGTCGGCGACTCCTGTCCCTACGACCGAGGAACCAGCCTGTGATGGACGACCCCGGCGACGCCGTAAGAAGACCCCGTGGCGTTGTGTCCGACCTCGCTGTGAGCCTGTTATGTATTGCCGGCACACTAAGTCCACAGTAGTTGCGGACGGTAACCTTGGGACGCCCATTGGCCGGACGTCTTCATCGGTTGGCTCGGTATCTAAGGCATGGTCGACGACTTCTCAGAAGGGATCGGTGGTATCTCCAAGGGACGACGACAGCTTTGTTCGTGGTACACGGTTTGCCGCTTTGGCAAGGGAAGGAGATGAGTCGGTTTATCCTGCCCAGTCCGTGGATGATGATGCTCTGTCGAAGGTTACGATCTTGAAGGACACCGAGCCTGATCCTACTTTGTACGAAGGCGATTTCTACAAGATGAAGATCATGTTCGCGCAGTCTATCCCTTCACCGTACCCACAGTTCAAGCCTTATTTGGGTTCGAAGGCTGGCGACCTTACTCCGTACGAAGAGTGGCCGACTCCGTCCATGGCTCCTGGTGACGAGATGGATGATGACGTTATCGGCAAGGACATTGAGCAGTACGCAATTCCTCAGCTCCCCACGGACGAGGAGGAGGTGTTTTCGGTTCCTACCTTCGACGTCGATGCCAAGCCAGAGCTGGTGGCGGTGGACGAGGTCTGTAAGCGGTATAAGTCGCTCTTCTCTAACAAGATTGGTCGGTGTAACTTGGTCGAGCACGACATCGACACGTATGATGCCAAACCTACGAGAGAGAAGCCTCGGCGTATCCCGCATGTCTATCGGTACGAGATTATTGAGCAGTTGGACGGTCTAGAGAAGCAAGGTGTTATCCGGCGGTCTAAAAGCCCGTACGCAGCCCCTTGTGTGTATGTTGCCAAGAAGGACGGAGGCGTAAGGATGTGTGTTGATTACCGGAAGCTCAACACAGCTTCTCCTCCATCAGCTTACCCGGTCCCGCTACCCGATTTTGTTCAAGAGTCTCTGGCTGGATCTAAGGTGTATACCAATCTCGATCTACGTTCGGGTTATTGGCAGATTCCCGTCCGTCCTTCGGACGTATGTAAGACGGCCTTCTGCCCTGGTGCCAACCTGCCCTTGTACGAGTTTTTGGTTATGCCCTTCGGTCTACATTCTGCTTGCGGTACGTTCCAAGACTTGATGGATCGACTACTAGGCGACCTTCCTTATGTTAAGGTCTACCTGGACGATGTCCTCATCTTTTCACCGGACTTGGAGACCCATGCTAAGCACTTGGACGAAGTCTTCCGTAGATTGGCAGAGGCTAACCTGACCCTGAACGCGGCTAAGTTCAAGTTCGCTGGAGACGGTGTTAAGTATCTAGGCCACTACTTCGATCAGTTCGGTATGCACCCTGATCCCGCTCGGGTTCAAGCTATCGCTGAGTGGACGCCGCCTAGGACAGTGTCAGAGGTGAGGTCGTTCCTGGGGCTGGTCAACTACTACCGGACGTTCATACCTCGGATGTCTGCGGTAGCTAAACCCATCCAACGGCTGGTGTCTCTATGTGACAAGTGCCCGGACGACGTACCTAAATATTGGGACGTGGATGCTGATGAAGCCTTTGTGAAGCTCAAGACTGCTCTCATCGGACTTCCTGGCTTGGCCTATCCCGATTTTCGGGAGCCGTTCCAGATCTGTTGCGATGCTTCCAATCAAGCTATTGGTGGGGTCCTTGAACAGAACGGTCGCCCGATCTGCTACTACTCTCAAGTCCTATCTGGTGCTGAGTTACGCTGGCATACCTTCGAGAAGGAAGCGTACGCGCTGTTTCGGTGTCTGCATCGGTTTCATGACTATATTATTGGTCACCCTTTGGAGGTTACTATCTACAGTGATCACCGCCCCTTGCAACACCTTGCTAAGTGTACGTCTGATCGAGTCCAGCGATGGATTTTGGCTATGCAACGGTATCGGTTTGTGGTACGGTACAAGGAAGGGACGAAGAATATCAATGCTGATGTACTCTCTCGACCTCAATTGCCACGGCCAGATCCTGTAGTACCAGACCCCCATGCGTGTGAAGTACGGTCCCCCGTCAACGACTCCCCCGTCTTGCGATCTTGTCTGGACGACCCTGGTTGCCGACTACATACGTCCTTGGTGGTTCTTGACACCCTATTCTCGATCGATGATATCCGAGACGGTCAGGACTTGGACGAGGTGGTCTCTGCAGTACGAGAGCGAGTCTTGGACGGTCATCCTTTGGGCCGCAGCGAGTTCAAGACCCGAGACTACCTTCCGTATCGACGTATATGGGCTTCTTTGGATGTGTCTGATGGGATTTTGGCTCGGCATTATCGTATGGACGCGCTGGATGAGGCGAGGCTCCTACCAGTGATCCCCGATGAGTTACGAGAACGTGCCCTCCGCCATTATCATCAGGACACCGGCCACTTTGCTCGAGAGAAGATGCTGAGCAAGATGAAACAACAGTGCTACTGGCCGACTATGCACGTGGATGTGGAAGTGCATTTGCAGACCTGTACTTCTTGTCTTGCTGCTGGCCCATTACAAGGATCCCCGTCACCCCTGTTACCGGTTCCTGTCGGACGAGCTTGGCACACCTTAGGTGTCGACTACCTTAAGATCGGTCCTGGTGTGGGCGGTTATAAGTGCCTCTTGGTGGTTCAAGACTACTTCACCAAGTGGGGTGAAGCCTACCCTCTCCGTACGGAAACGGTGGAAGAGTCTTTGCCTCACCTTCTTGGGTTGTTCGCTCGGTTTGGTCCGCCAGCACGGATCCACTCGGATCAAGGCCAGCAATTTGAGAGTGCTCTATTCCGAGCTACCTTGGACGCTCTGGGTATCTCTAAGTCTCGGACGACCATCTACCATCCAGCTGGTAACGGTTTGGTTGAACGACTTAACGGGACCATCTTGTCGATGTTGAGGAGACACTGTTGCATCCCCGACTGGCCGACCCATCTGCCGGCTCCGGATGTTCAAGTACAACACTGCTATCCACTCTTCTACTGGCTACAGTCCCTTCATGCTTATGTTTGGACGTGAGCCTCCGGCCGACTTCATTCCTATAACGTCCGCTTATAGTTCACTGGTATTTGATACCGAGACGTACGGACAATATGTGGCTAGGGTACGAGCTTACTTGGACGATGAGGTCGACCAGGCTGTCACTCATGCAGCAGCGAGGTACAAGGCCTTCTACGATCGCAAAGCCAAGCCCACGGCTTTCTTTCCGAACGCTAGAGTCTTTGTACGTGTTCACGTCCCCAACAACAAGCTGGCTCCGAGGTGGGAAGGTGACTGGTACATAGTGGACATTATTGGCTCACAAGACCCGGTAAAAGTGCTTCGCCTTAAACATGCTGTCACGGGCGAGTTGAAGGTCATCAACGTGGACCATGTTCGACTGGATCCAGTTCAACCTGACCAACTGCCGGACGGTCTCCTACAGCGTGTGGATCGAGAAGTCCCAGACCTACCCCCTCTACCGGCCTTCAACCCTGAGGCACCGCCTGCTCATGCTCTACACCCTCAGCGAACGATGCCTCCTAGGTCAATGTCTGACGAGGACGAGTTCTCTAACGGTGTTCCGGACAATCAGCCCGTACCCGCTCGATCTGTGGTACGACCGCCGAATGGTCCGTCCGCATCTCCTGCCCCGTCTAGATCACGGACGAGGCCTATGCCCCCTTCGGCAGCCTCTACTCCTGCGGCTCCATCTAGACAGTCTATGTTACCCCCGCGGCCGTTTATGTCGTCGCCTCCTCCGGTGGAAGGACGACCTGTTCATGATGGGCATTATTCGCCCCTGTCCCCGCCGCTTCTTTCTACACCGCTCCCGTCGCCGGTGCCTGATAGTCTTCAGAGCCCGGCTGAGTCGGTACCTTCGGATGGCCCTCCGTCCCCCCTGGAACCATCCCGATCTGTGTCACCTGACGAGCTTCCCCCTGGACGCTCACGGTCCGTGACGCCTACTACCCCTGTGGAGTCTCCTGAAGAGTCAACGCCGCTTCCTTCCGATATGGCAAGCCCGATCATGGACGCTGACTTCGAGTCTCCCCAAGGTACGCCGACGCCCCCTGTTAACGACCCCATCCAACAACCTGCTGAGGCACCGCCGACCACGCCTCCGGCAGAGGCAGCCCCCGAGTCTACAAGACCATTTACTAGGTCTAGGGCTGGTCACCGATCCCGACCACCGACCCGCTTCGACCCCGATACCTACGTCCCGATGGCTCTTCGTTCTGAACGGAGCCATGGACGTTCTGACTCTTCTTAAGTGAGGAAGGAGGTTTGCGTGGGAGGAGAAAGAGATTGGTGCACCCTTCTAACTCTCTATACAGTCTCGAGTTGGACGATCTCCCGACCCTCCTCGTTGCCTCTTGTAAAAGCCTGCCGGCAGCCTATCCCCGTTCAGGGATAGTTCCTCTATGTCTCCTTTCTGTACGTGTCGAAGCCTGTTACTTAGTTGGTTGTGGTTGGATGTGAAGGTCCTGTACAACATGTTTTGGTTATTTCTACAAGTTGGTTTTGCCACTGCGCTGCAGTGACTGTGGAACCCCGAACTGTCTCGGCGGTTCCAATCCTGCGCTGTATTTCTAGTCTATCCAGTCGATATGTCTACGCTTTTGTCCCTGATTTGCCCGTGGTGTCGATGATGCAGCCTGGTCCGCCGAAGACGCTCTCAAGATTGAAGGATTCGTTTCTGAGGTCGTGCCGGACGTTGAAATCGAGGATGCTCAAGCTCAAGCCCCGACTCAAGGTTCTGCTTGCTCTAAGGATGGCCCTTCGAGCTAAGCTGATTCTGCTCTATTCTGGACGGCTCGGACAAGCTGTTGCCGTAAGGATGAATTAAGTATGAGACTTTTTATTATTATGATTAAGTACACCGCTGTAGTACGTATTGCTAGAATTCGTATATGCTGCCTTCACTGGTACGCTGCTTTTTCCGTCTGTAGCCCGGTTCGGATCTGCGTGGGAGGAATGTGATGGGACGTGCTTCGCTCCGCTGTGCGCACGTCCCTATTCTGTGTGCGATCTTCACTGTGTGCTACAGACCGTATCTGCGAGTACTGCAGCCGTTTCGCAGTATCTTTAGCTATTGGATATCGATCATACGTAGTTGTCGTATAAGCTTAGTTCAAGCTTACTACGAGCTCTGTACAAGTACACTTTACACGTAGTCCACTCGTGTTCTGTACACGCCTTCCACTCGTACTCTTATCCCCGTCATCTATCGTAGTGTCCCTGCGGTAGTCGTATTCTCTGGTTATCTCTATCTCGTACAGCCACCGCTCTGTACGTAGTCGGATATCTGGTTATAGCTTAGTCAGCTCAACTCCTTATACCCTAGGTGTGCTGGTTGTGTTCTTCTCATTAGTTGGGTCGGTTCACTCCTGCGACACATAAGTGCATTGGCGCACGCCATAGAAACCTATTAAAGTTAGCCCCCATTTTTAGCGCCGCATAAACACATGGAATCCGCCCAGGTATTGGTGGTTCGATGTGCGAAGTAGATTGCACAGGTGTAAAGCGTTCACTAGAACTAAACCCAGAATCCGACGGCTGCATAACACAAACTGCGGCGACTCACTAATAGAATGCATAGATAATACAGATCAGATACAGTTCTATATGTAGACGGGATAGAGATCACAAATAGAGATCGATGATAGACCACCAGAGTAGACGAACGGGTAGGTCGTAAGGATCAGACGGACGTAATCCAAACAGTCTTAAGTTTGATATACAATCCAATAAAGCCTTTGATTGAAACGGTTAGATTCTAGGCGAGCGACATAGAATCTTGCGCTGCCTGAAGGTCAGCACATACCCCGTAGATGGTCCGTGTTTAGACACATCTGTAGAGACCATCTCATAGACCATACCTTAATTGTCTATATAAAGCAGACAAATACAATATAGGTATACGAATCTAGCCTATGATCTATAGAGAAAAAGTAGGGATGTCATAAGAGACATCGATAGTGATACCAATATAGATATCGTCATAGCGGATGCAATCGTAGATACTAACTACTAGAGCATTTCCTTATACCACTTGATAGATAATAGATAGACCACGGTCACTAACCGTCCTAGGCCACTTAATCCAAGATAGAGTTCTTATCCTCCTCATAGTAATCGTTGGTGATAGAACGAAGTTGGGCCAAATCATAGTTAGAGTCCTTTAGAGTTGTAGCCGGTCTAGCAAATTACTAGTACGTTCTAGAAGAGAGCGTGTTAGAGGTCTAGTAGAGGACGTTATCTAAATCACCTTAGTACGAGACACCTCGTAGAGAAACTCATTGGAAGTGGACAACGCCCCAGATATATCTGTTACGAGAGTAACAGGGCTTCGACATAAAGAGTCCGAGTTGGCAGTATAGCATTCAATAGAAGCCGATCCAAGATAAATAGATGTATCATTTGAGATACCCAACCAACCATTGTGAGGCGTGACAGAAGATGGAATAGGTTTACCAAACACTAGAACATTATCCACACGTCTAGTTGAAGCTGCTGTCTCCTGTCTAACCGGGGTAATGGTCTCAACGGTTGAAGACGGATGTTTTGACGATACCGATAGTGTGTGTGTGTGTGTGTGTGTGTGTGTGAGTTTAAAGTCCGACGCCGACAACACGGCTTAGTTAGACTCGCGTCAATGCACATTGGCTCACGAGGGATCAGTTTTGGCCTTTTAAATTGTCTACTTTCATCCTGCCAATGGGTTCTGTCCACAGGGCGAGATAACCTCTGCCAATGTACTTCCTTTCCTCTCGGCAGGATCCGCTTACACGACTGCGGGGGCTGTGTACGACCACGGAACACAAGCACTCGCCACAGTGTGTTGACCACAAGCATCATCTCCGAGACTCGAAAAATCCGTACCCTAGCATAAGTCATCCCTCACCCGAGACTATCACTCTCGATGGCAGAAGCATATACTTCTAGTTGCGTTCCCTCATATCACGGGTTTGTCGCATTTTTGAAGGTCAGTTTCTCACAGAAGCTCGCCATAGCCGTGCATCGATTCACACTAATTGTTATTTGCCCAAGAGTTCCGCTCCCGTCCACGTAATTCGGACGCAAACGTGACCGATCTGGTCTTGTGCACTTGAGCAGGAGGTGTTCACTGGTCTCTTTAACATGGCAATGAGAGCAATTCTCATCATGTGAACCCCAGCAGTAGCTAGGTCCATATCTATATCCTCTTAGTAAGGTAGAGTGACCGGAGAGCAACTGGAGGAATGCTCCATTATTTCTGTACGATACTACCATACGGACAATTTCTCTTTGTCTTGAACTTCGCAGTGTTCTTTGCAAACTCTGTGATAAGGTAGACACCATACGGACTGTCACGTAATCCTTAACTCTCTCGAGTCTATGCTTTATCCTGGAGTGCTGGTGGCTACTGTCCCGACTTGTTCGTTCTGGGAAACCCCAGCTCTCCATGACTCCCCAGAATTTGTTTGCCATAACCTGTCCCTTAGCGAGCGCCCCGTGGGAAGTTTCGCAGTCTCCGCAGCTTGACCATCTAGAGTAAACTGTATAACAGACTTCCTGGCCGCCGCGGTGATCTCAGGATAAGTCTCAAATTCAATAAATAAATATCTATCTCGAGACAAGACCTCCGCAACATGCGGAAGAGGAACCAGTTCATTATTGGGTAAACAACCAAATAACTGTCCAGCTGACACGAGTCTCGCATCCACAGAGAACTTCGCCTTTACGACATCCTTTTTTTGAGAAGCAGCGGCAATCAACGCAGCTCTGAGTCTTGCTCTTCTCAGTCTCACAGCGATAATATCAGCCTGAGGCTGTTCGGCATCATTATCCAATACAGCACCCATAGCGACAGCACAAGCAACTACCATTCCTCCCAACAACTCGGCATCATCAACCGCTGCCTTCAACGTTCTCAAAGAGTTAACCGAGAAGGGTGGTTGAGCTAATGTCTCAACTATGGTCCCAGACAGATCTGGAGCAGTTGAAAACGTCGACATCAACAACGGTTCATCCTAATTTTAAAACAAAAAAACAGGAACCTGAAGACAAAGGATAAACAGAATACGAGGGCAATTCAAGCATAACGCCACTCAGAGGCGGCTGGAACTCGAAATCGCCATGAAGATGAATCAAACAAAATAAACGAGCAAATGAACAAACAAAGTAAAGCGAAAGAATAACAACACTTATGATAAACATGTATGTGATTAAGAATCATCACGATTACTTAGTACGCGAAAAGATAGTAGTTTACACAAATCTAGCGTCGCACCACCCGAATCTACCGACTTGACAATGGTACCCTTTATCCACCACACAACACATTTACCCCTAATTAGGGATCGACCATCCAACCACACATGGATTCCGACAACTGTCGACCGCATACTCGTTCAACACCGAGCAAACTCCCCCAACACGGGGACACAACCATTAGTGCACCAAACAGGTGACTAACCGATCATTACCGCAACACAAGGCAACTTCAAATGAACAGTAAACAGAACATACATGTGCATAACTTACCATACATATGTATGTCGGACCAATACCATAATCGGACCCATTCAGTTGGACTGAAATAACAAGGATTTAGAGACGTGACAAAACGAGAAGCAAATCAACAAAGCAATAACAAATTGTATAAGGAAACAGAGAGGAAACAATCGAATGCTCAGATGTTCGCCTCAACAATAAAACATTATAGTTGAGTTTCCAGGAACACCACGAGGAGGTCTCTGAGCTCGTTCCCATACCGATAGTCTTGATGGAGACGAACGTAAATTGGTACCAACTTCATAGTCTTCAGTTGTATCGAATGAATCATCATGAGGGGGAGATAGAGCCACTCCGTCAATTGATGAGGAGGGACTTGATATGACCTGATTAGATGGATCTAGAAGGACATCCTCACAACCAGGCAAAATGGTAGAGTCTTCTTGTCGACGTTGATGGTTACTAGAAGACCGTTGTTCGACTCGTCTTAGAATAATCTTAGACTGATCCGAACCATCACCGCTAGCAGGGAAAGTATCGAAGTTACCTTCCGCGTCCTGATAAACTCTTAGGCCTTTTCATAGATTGGAGATTGTAGAGCACGTGCGGGTACCAGGTTCTTGACGGAGGCGTAGATGAGAGAAGAGACCCCAGGGCCACCTTCTAGAGTAGTTCCATCATCAGAAACCTTTAGATTACCGCCATAGTCAGATGGTAGTACAATACCGTCAAAGAGATGAACCATAGATGTACCGCATAGCTTAGCAACCGTTAGAGGCCCTCGCAATTTGAGGGATAGATGACCAGCAAGAGAATGATCGGCACACTCGCTGATATAGACAAGGTCATAGAGTGCCAGTTGATAATCTTGAGAAGTATCCTTGATAGAATTCTCGCGAAGAGCGGCTTGTTTTAGCTTCCAAGAATCGACGTACTCTTGAACTGTGACCTTGACCTTTTCTTGTTGACCTGATAGAACCGGCAACAAGGATCGAACATAGGGCAGATAGTCAACGTTCAGATATTTGACCTCGAGCGTGTCCCAATCGATAGCGGGGAAGTCAGACGGAGGGTCGCCGGGTGGACGTTGCCCATAACCATAATGTAGAGCGCATGGACTCAGCGTAGACCAGTGCCTAGGGGTGCTGTTATAGCATCGAACGGCTAGAAGGTAACTGAAGATGTAGTCTTCAGGAGTAGCACTTGACGCCAATATAGCTCTAGATGTTTGGACTAGATCTCGATGAGATCTTTCCCAGAAGGAGAGATGTTGACTGTAGCCGGGTAGAGTATACTGTCTAATACCGTGTTTGTTTGGAACAGAGCGTACCGACCTAGTCAAGATAGAAAAGATATCTCGATCACTAATAACTACAGATGGACTGCCGTGCTCACAGACGACTGAATGTAGAGTATTAGCAACAGTAGTAGATTTAGTGTTACGCATAGCTCTAGCGACAATAAAGTCACTAACAGCGTCTTGACACACTAATAGATAATAGTTCTTAGAGGGATCGAGCTTACCATCACCAATCGAACGATTAGAGGCTTGAGAAGAGGTAGAGTTTTGTCGTAGATATCGTTGTTGCGGTGGCTTACCATAAGAACCAACAATATCAACTCCCACCAACTGCCATAGTTGTGTTGTAACCATATCTTAAACATCAGAATTTAGATACTTGATAGACTTAGTAGATCTGGCGCGGAGACACAAACTACAACTAGATGTGGTCTTGCGGACAGCAACACATATATCTCTATCAGTAAACTTCCTCTGTAGAATAGATCGTAGACGACGCTTCCCTGGGTGGCCATAGGGATAATGGTAGATACCGCAAAGGATACATAGCACTTGGTATGCATAGCTAGAGTTATCAAGATAAATAATGCCACCGTCTTCAGGATCAGTATTATTATTTGAACTATACCAGCGCCGTTGACGAATGAGACCATCATTGTCTAGCGAACAGTGCTTAGACATACGTTGAAAGACCGTCTGTCGAAGACCAATAGATCCACGAGAAACCTTGCTTTCTAGATAGTCTCGGAACTTAGAAAGATCGGCATCATTAGATTGACACCGACGAACACAAACAGTTAGACGTTGCTTGAACTCAATATTATCCAAGGTGGACTCAAGAGCGTTAGACATACCTCTAGTAGTATCAACGAACTCGAGAAGGAGTCTTAGTTTTTCCTTCTCGACGTCAAATAGATCTAGACCAGATATGTTAGGTAGATCAAGGCAATCGCAGTTAACCAACATAACCTTAGCATGAACAGATGTAGATATATCAAGTGGTGAGACCGGAAGATCATCAATAGTGATAGACTCATGATAGCAGAAGTCGTCGTCTAGAGCAGAGGCCACCAAGGGGTACCCCGATGTATAGAGGTAGTAGAGGTTGCGCTAGGAGAAGCATGGGGGTACCCCGCGTCCTTAGTAGAGGTCGCGTGAGTCATAGAAGGATCATATATAACACATCGGTCTTCTAGAGATGATGATAATAAAGTAACATCAAACTTCTCAGGTAGAGTACACCTAGAAATAGAGTCGGAAGCATTACAATTAGACGGCACGTGTTTGACGCACGCTTGCAGATCAGAGCATAATTGACGAACAGCAGCCAAACGGCGTCGTTCCGGTGCCATCAACTTATCATCATTAGAAGGCTTTCTCAGCCGACAGACCGTTGCCTCGGAGTCAACAGCGACAGTTAGAGCATGATCTCGAGGTTAGGTGCATCAGTACTTAGAACTTCTAAGTTAGAAGCAGCGGTTGATCTAGATGTACATGACGAGTTAGAGCCTTAGATTCAGCCAGAGTTTTAGAGAGTGTTGCCCACTCGACGACAGCCTTAGTCAAAGATAGAGAAATAGTAGCTTCCCAATCCGTTGGAGTAGATTTATTAATATCTCTCCATATAGATCTCCCCTGCATGTCATGCTCGACGAGCAAACCAAGAGGATCATAGAAACTGGCGAGAATGCCACACGACTGTCGTTTGGTAATTGAGTCATTACCAGGAATAGAGCCGCTAAAGGAGCAATAGAAGACATCGTCCTTGGTGCAACAGTCATGACCCAGTAGATGTTGACGTTTCATTAGAGCTAGACCATCATTCGGAGTAGACCAATTGTCATAACTCTTTAGAACTTCCACCGGAAAATCGTGACCGTTGCACATATATGACACTAGATCATAGTTCCGACGAGCCTCAGTTTGGGTAGAACCACCAGCATAGATATCATCAACAAACTTGATAAGTATAACCTTCTTAGATATAGGAGGAGCTCTAAGTAAGTAGTCATACGCAGTGTCAGAAGGACGTAGAAGACAAGCTTCTACCTCTTCTCGACACAGGTCAGCGATAGTCACGATAGACGCCGGAAACTTCGCAGCAAGCTTCCACAAGGCATTAATCTCTAGAGTAATATCTTCCATAGACGCATCTAGTTGGCACAGAGCAGCACTAGAACCGAATGCAACTCTAGACCATGATACGACATATGACCCAATACAAGTGTAGCCAACATAAGGAACGTCATTAGAATTGCTCTGCATTCTACAGAATGCTTTAGAGAGGTCGCCCGCGACGAAATACCGATTAGAGCATATCGCCAATAGACTACCAACTAGGTGGTTTTGAGGATAACCACCACGTAGAGAGTGTCGATTTAGAGATCGGAAATCGAAAACTATACGACACGGCGTGCTCGGATGCGACGGTCTAAAGGCTAGATGTGAAGGCGTATAGTGCTCCGGTAAAAGAACATTACACCCTTCATAGATAGTACCACTAGTTAACTTGGACCATGCTTTAGAGCACATAGACTTGGTAGGCTTCTTGAATCAAGAATCTTGATACCCTGACGTACATCACAAACAATAGAGCTGAAACCCTTATCAATAAGTTGAGATAAAGCACCTTCAAACATAGAATGACGCTCCTTGTCGAGTTTAGCTATAGAAGCTAGACCACGTTTAGCAGCATAATAGAAATCATACTCGGGACGGGAATCATCCCTCCAGGGGACCTTAGTATGGTCTCTACCTAATGGAGCATTAGAGTCGTAGGCCCATGATCTAGATATAGCGTCCCAAGGAGGAAGTTGATCACGCCTTGTAGACTCTCTATCCGATTCATCAACGAGTAGAGTATCATCCATACCAATAGACGTATCATCAGTAGGATAAATCTTAGCATCGTGATAGAGATCTTGATAAAGACCAATCGGACCACTTAGAGAGTTGGCTCTAGCAAGGGACTCGATAGTTAAAGAAGACTTGACCGTTAGATCACGTAGACATGGCACAACCTTAGAGTAGTGACTGACCTGCATAACCATAACCTTCCTAGCCCAATCCATCTCCTTGACAGACAAGCAACCATCTAGAAGATCTAGATCGTTAACATTAGAAGAACCAGTAGAACCACCGATGATGTTTAGAAGTTTTAGAAGATCGTTAACATTCGAAGTTTAGCCATCGTAGATAAACCCATGATGACTGGAGTACTGAGTCCATTAGAGGCCAAAAGGAAGGAGTCCTTGACGAATGTAGAGCCGTATCCAACCTCTAGCTCGACGTTACCGAGAACTGACAAGGTAGAGCCATTGGCGACACTAATATGACCGAGAGCCGAAGGATCATCGAAGCGGAGCTCCTTATCAGTTAGATGACGCAGTGTAAAGACTGCAATTAGTTATACGTCTGCACCTGTATCATAGAGTACTGGCCGGATAGTACCACAGATAGACAGATCACCGACAACCATTGAGATTCTAGAGCTGGACGTACTAGATGTTGCCGTAGAGTCGGAAGACAATGAGTGGAGAGCATTATACTTAGAGCACTGTGAATCTGAACCTTCTAGAGTAGAGACTCTAAGGTAGAATTCAGCATCCTCACGTGAGACTAGATGGGCCCTGGTCTTAGGATTAGTAACCTTAGCACTAGGAGTCGGCGTAGAGGGCTCGTCCTTGACAGGCTTCTTTTTGCTCTCAACTAAAAGATGTCCTCTCTTACGACATCTCTGACAATAGAGACTCTTGTCAGAAACATTGCACTGATCGGTAACATAATTAGAGTTACCGCACTTGTGGCACCTTGAGCTTAAATTGCTCACCTTGCCTCGACAGAGTCTAGCAGGATGACCAACCCCGGTGCAGCGATAAAATTGTATAGACATAGAGTCGGCACCAACAGCATAGACGTGGGCATCGAAGCTAGAGTCATCGTCGACATCGCCGACGACGGTATTAACCTTCTGACGGCGGACTCTACCCAATCGAGGACGTTCATAGCCAGTCAGTAGACGCACAAACTTATCGAACGTAATAGTAGAATCACTTGACTCCTTGTCTACCTTATCGCGTAGATAATCAGCCTGTAGACCATCATATAGTCTTCTCTTCATATCATACTCGTAAGTCATAATACCCATTAGATGCAGCTCAGTAACAGTAGATTCTAGTCTCTTGACATAGTCAGATAGAGACTCAGAAGTCCCTTGCTCACACATGAAGAACGAAACCTTAGCCTTAGCAATACAATCTTCATCATCGTAGAGAGAACGGAGTTGACACTGTAGACGCTCAAGATGCTTCTCATAGTCTAGATAACACTTAGCAGGGGGTTGAGTACCCTTGATGAGCTTGCACCAAGTAGAGGGCTCAATATTATTATTAGCCCATGGATACCGAGTGACCGCATCATGGCCTTCTTAAACAAAGTCGATCTCTCTAACAATAGTAGAACCACTTCTCGAATCCCCTTCTCCCTTGAAGATAGGCTTTAAAGGCTTCTTCTCGGCGATGGACCTGGCGGTTTCGAATTCTTTAGTAGAAATCTTAGCTCGACAGGGTTGAGAACCGCAACCCGGACAGATAGCATCGTAAGAGGGAGGAGCACGATTAGGGGGTTGATAGAAGCGATTACCATAGAGACCACCTTGAGCGGAAGTTGGGACAAATCCATCAGCTAGACCGGTCTTGGGCACATTAGATGGAGATTGACGAGGAAGTTCGCCGTCGCCAGATAATGACGAAGATCTTCTCGAAGACGTAGAAGACTTAGAGCCTTGAGAATGCTTAGAATCTTCACGACGACGAGAGTAGCGTGAACCATTGAACCCTCACTCTTAGGAGTCTTCCAAGAAGGTCGCCTAGAATGGCGAGAACCAGAGGAACCCTTGTCCCTAGAGGACTCAGAAGCTCTAGAACAGCGGGAGCCATGTTGGCTAGATGCAACAGAGATGTGATCTTCCCTACTCCTAGATGACCCATGGCCGGAGTCCCTAGAGTGGCAAAAACGGAGACTCACGAACGGAGCGACTAGAACAGCGAGAAGCACGAGAAGCAACCTGACCGCTTTGATAGTGGTCCAGGGATAGAGGGCCTTGAGTAGATGGTTTTTGTAATCCGTGGCCAACGCCGGTAGTATTAGTACCAGTTACACCAATAGGCATAGAAGGCATCATAGATGGAGAACCAACAACCGAATAGGGGACTAGAGATAAGCCCCCATTAGGGCCAGGCATGTAGCCTCATTGGAAATTAGAGGCACCAACACTTGATTGCACATTAGATGGAAAAGGGTTAACAGGAATAGGGTAGAAACCATAGATCCATCGATAATAGGATTAGTGGGCTGGACCAATCCTTGATGCACAATAGGAGTAACCGGCATAGTAGTATTAACAGGGCCAGTAGAGTGCTGAGCAGTAGTGTTGAGATGTGGGCTGGAGATACCATTACCATTAAGAACATTAACAGCAGAAGGTACAGCAGTAGCAACGGTCTTCTTACTAGAATTAGCCAGATCATCATTACCCGATATATTAGAACTATCACCATTACCCTCGAGGGGTGTAGTAGAGTCAGCCTCAATAGTCTTAAACCCACTAGACGACGAAGCAGAAGGTTGAGGAACCGAATCATCACCAGAGTTATCATTCTTGGGAGTAGATACAGACTTACCATTAGTAGCATCAGATATATCACCAGACTAGAGGAATGACGAGTAGCGCTAATAGCACGCTTCTTAGTAGAGGCTTCAGGGGTCGGCGTTCTAGTGACACCAGTCATTTAGACAGTACCCAGATTAATAGGTGAACCACGTAGACCGCAACCATCGGAGATAGGAACAGCACTAGAAGAATCGTTGCCGAATGTCGGAGTGCAGTGCATCCGATCAGGGTAGCCGGAAGACGAGTCGTCCTTACCATTAAACAGAGCATTAGAGTTACCAGTTACGATAGAACCGATAGAATGCTTGTCGTTAACCTTGTCGTCCAGACAACCAGAGATACCATTACTCACAGGTAGAACTAGAACATCGTTGTGCTCAACGTAGATCTCAGGACCAGCCCCAACAGTAGAGTGTTGAGGTACCATATCATCATTGGAAGATGACGGTAGATTTCCTTGAGGATCGTCGTGGTCATAGACAGTAGAACGGGCTCGAACTTCTTGTGTTCTCGAGGGGAGAGAACGATGGCGGAGCATAGAAGACCTTCTTGAAGAAGATAAGCTTGCCGAGCTGGAGCTAGATCCAGCAGGTAGAAGCTGAGGCATAGATGACGACATAGCGAACGCAGAGGTTCGGTAGGAAATCCCGGTAGAATGTGCGGACAATGGGCGTGACCAGATACCAGAAATTTCAGAATTTCTGGAGGGTGGTTCGATGTGCGAAGTAGATTGCACAGATGTAAAGCGTTCACTAGAACTAAACCCAGAATCCGACGGCTGCATAACACAAACTGCGGCGACTCACTAATAGAATGCATAGATAATACAGATAAGATACAGTTCTATATGTAGACGAGATAGAGATCACAAATAGAGATCGATGATAGACTACCAGAGTAGACGAACGGGTAGGTCGTAAGGATCAGGCGGACGTAATCCAAACAGTCTCAAGTTTGATATACAATCCAATAAAGCCTTTGATTGAAACGGTTAGATTCTAGGCGAGCGACATAGAATCTTGCGCTGCCTGAGGGTCAGCACAAAATATGAGCACGCTCAAATGCGGGAACCCCGCATCTATGTCCAATTTGAGTCTGACCCCACCTCGCGCACGTCTCATGTAGCCTTCCTCGAGCAAGCCTAACACTCGAAAACTCCACAGCCAGAGAGGGAGTGTAACGTATTTTGACGTATTTACCAGAGTATTGAGATCGTGAAGCACGTAGCATCATTGGGCGTGCGCTTTTCCCTATATAGCGAATCGTATGGTTCTTAGAACCTACGTTTCTCGTTGTAAGTCTCTAGTATTGAGGTTCTGTAGCCATCTTGGCTCAAGATCTTAGTGTCGTGTTATTGGTCACCGCATGTCGGCGAGGAGTTCCTCAACACCGGCGGAGAGTTATGCGACAAATTGGTGGTCGATGCAGGGCCTACGGAACGTGCAAGCAGAGCAGCCCGATGATGAGCGAGTGTCCGAGAAAGTCTGCGACATAGTAGACCGACTCCTAGCTGTTGATGACAAGGTGAGAGCACGGGCTAAGATCGGGGTTTTGATACGTAAGGGGGCCGTTGCATTGAAAGAGTTTTCCGAGAGGTCGCGAGGGATGCGAATGTGACGAACTATAGTGATGTTTGGCGTTCGATATATGCGGCTCTATATTGGTGCACTTTGGATAGTGGCCTGACAGAGGGAGCTCAGGAGTTAGCGTACTGTTTGAGCTTGGGAGTGATGAGATCACTAGTGAAAATATCAGCTCTTGATGCGTGCTTCACGGAAAGAAATCCGGTGATGCTCGCACGATTGTTGGTGGTCTTGGGTATCGAGGGGAGTGATTCGAAGAATAAAATGACTCCTGCTCATTGGATCGAAAATAAGATAGAGTTAAATAGTCTCCCTCTGGTAGAAGCTGCTCCTTGGGACGTAGACGGGAAAAATGCTGATAATGTGTTTATGACGTACGATATATTTAAGAAGAGAGTTCGATCGGCTTGTAAGAGTTATCAGTTGAAGGGTCCGTTGGCGTGTTACTATTTGAGCAGAAATTTGGTCGGTAGAGCCAAAACATACTGCCAAGAGCAGTTGGGGAAGTTGACGGAATTGGAAGATAATGGTTTACAAGGGGATATTTCCGAAATGTTGTGGGAGCGATTAGATGAGAAATTTGCGAATTTATGGAGTGAAGGGCGAGCTGTGAGTAATTTCGGAAAAGTTTTCAAGAAGAGTGATGAAAGCGTCAATTCCTTCTGTGGTCGTGTACAGGAGCTCGGGGAGACTCTACCAAGTCTCAGTAGTAGTGATGTGCGAAATCAGATTTTGAGGGGTTTACCCGGTGGTCTGGTGGTGAAGTTGGAACAATATTTCGGTCCCAAGTTGTATAGCGAGCCTCTATCAGTGATAGCAGATGCAGCAGAGTTTTATGAGAAAGATTATAAAGATTCGAAGCCTTTAGTCACGGGGAAAGGTGCTGGCAAGGGGCAAGGGCCAGGATCGATCCGCCGTGAGGGTGATTCTAAACCACCCCAATTGAGAGCGAGTCAGGGCCTCAACGGTGCGAAAGGATCTTTGCAATGTTATCATTGTAGAGGATTTGGGCATGTAGCTCGTAATTGTCCAAGGAAAAATCCCAATCCACAAAATGAGAAGTCTAGCAGAGTCCAGGGTATGGGCGCTACGAGCGGTGATGCGAGACCGAACAACTCCACCAGTCGAGGAGCGATGGCAGTCGACATCGATCAGGGATTGATTGATATTGCATCTGTTGCCGAACAGGAGCCGAAGGAGTTGAAGTCTCTTACGTTAGCAACGGCATGTCCCCCTAGTACATGTAAAGTGACTCTGGCAGGAGAAGTCTTCGACGCGCTTGTGGATAGCGGATCGGCTCTGGCGTTGATCAATAGGGATCTCGCCAAGCGTTTGAAGTTGAGTAGAAAAAGTATTGCTCCTCTGCGAGCGGTGTTTGCCAATAATCAAACACAAATGATCACGGAAGAGACGATCGTTCTGTGTCGAGTAGGAGATAAAGAATTGATTCTCCCATTCTTGATAGCAAATGGGCTATCATACGACCTCATCTTAGGAAGTTCGGCGTTGCGCTTGTGCGGTGCGAAGCTCGTTTATAGATTTGATGATGAGACAGCCTTGGGAAAGATCCGATCGAAGTTATTGGAAGCATCCAGGGAGTCAGAGAGCTCGCGTAATAGGACGGTACCGTCTCTCAATGAAGAGGATGGGTCCTACGAGTTCTCGGAGATATCCTCAGTGGATATTATCAATCCAGAGAGGATTGATTGCAGTGGTGTGCATCTTAATGGTACGATAGCATGCTCAGTCTCAGGCGATGAGGTGGCGGTTACTCTGAAGCACCAGAGAGTGAAATTAAGGAGTACAGCTCGGCGGAGTCCGAGTTGGAATTTCCGAGTTTAATAGTTGGACACCGACAAGCATCCCTAATAGTAATAGTAAGTGCGAATGCGAGAATTGCGACTCGATCGAGCAGTGTCTTGAGAAGCTTTGTGATTCTGGATGGAGACCGATAAAGAATGCGGAAGCTTACAAGATGCGATTGGTTAAATTAGAAACCGATGATGTTCGCGATACGCCGTCGCAAGAGTATCGATTTCTAGTAGATTGGGAGGAAGTCGAGAGTGCGAATGAGCAACGGTCGTGGTCTCTGAATAGATTGTTGCAGAAGCTCAGTCCTGACCAGTATGAGCTCTGGCTAGATGAGCTAAAAATGTATGAAAATCGCCATTGGTGGGAGAGAGTATCTGACTAGGAAGTGCCGAGGGATAGGGCCAAGGCATTTCCAATAATATCGATGGCTAAATCTACGAGGATTAGGCCAGTTGTAGATGCCAGGATACTCAATTTACGAGCACCAGTCGCATCGAGCCGTAAGCACAGCATCGGTCGTATTACTCAGCAGTTACGTTCCATCATTACGCCGTCTGTGGAGATTCGCCAATACGATTTGGCGAAGGCCTTTTATAGGCTCGCCATTGTGAGGCCAGTCTATATCAATTATGGTCGTGGTATAGAAATGAGGAGCTCTCGCCTAACCTTCGGGCTGGCGATAGGCCCAGGGGCCTTAGAGCACTCATTGGACCTACTATGGAGTATACTCGACCGATTCCACACTTTGGTGCGTACTCTCAGAGTGATGGACGATATCGTTGTGGTGTCGTCAAAAGTACACTTGGATGAGTTCGAGGCTACACTCTATAAAGTGTTGGATTTGGCGGGGTTCGACATTCCGTATGAGAAGAAAGCTGTATGGAGAGATGAGTACTCCAAGTGGCTGGGTGCTTACTGGGCGTGGGACGGCTGTGTCTTACGCGTGAAGCCACCGGTGAATAATTTTACGGTTTCCACTACTAAACGTGAGGTCTTTCGTCAAGCAGGTCGCTTCCTAGATCTACGTCAATCGTTAGAAGAAGTACAGGCTCGAGCGCATTGTGATTGGGCCCGTCGAGTGAGTGGGTCCCAGAGTATAGCTTTCGATGATGTGTTGCCTCCTGACATCAAGAAGGAGGTGAATAAGCATTTAAATGCTGCTGTAGAATCATGAGCACGTATTCCTCTCGAGCTGCCCTTATTTTCCACTGTTAAGTCTCTCGTGATAGAGAATGATGCCTCGAACTGTGGGTTTGCATCTGTATGGTATTCTACCGTACTTTCTGACACCACAGAAGCTGCGATTCCGCATATGATAATCCTTTGTGCGCGTTCTCACCTGTTCGCTACCTGTGCTCGTTTCTGGCATGCAAATAGGAGGGAACTTTTCTGTCTGAGCAGCTCTCTGGGGCAGTTTTATTCTTCATTGCTCGATGGTTTCTTCCCACAGTTGGAGTCAGTCGTTCTCTCGAGTGATTCTACTACGGCGATCCGACGACTAGATGATCGCCCTCATAAGATGAAAGGAGTAGAGTGGTTATCCACCTCTCGATTACGTGAGTGCTGTCTTGATATGTTAAGACTTGTTCGTTCGTATAAGATCTTTGTTCGCTTCACTCATGTATCAGCTGATCGAAATGCTCAACCATATTTGCTCTCGAGGATAAATCAAGATATTCCTGCGAGAGACATTCGAGGACTTCCATCTGTCGTTGAGTCTCATCCAGAATGCTGTACAATCTCATTATCTACTATTGATAATCTGCCTACTTATAGATGCTTTATTCTGCTGAATGAGTGTTTCCAGGGATGGCGTCATAAACATATTAACAATTGTGATGACTATTTATTGAGGTTCATCCAATCTCAGCAGCAACGTGATGACATGGCTGCTGCTACTTTCCGTGTATTAAGTAGTAATGTATCTGTTCTTCACGATGAATCTATTCGTATCCAAAAGTATGCGCAGCATATGATGGTCGTGAATGGTCTACTTTGTAAGATTTTAACTAAGACTAGTACTAAGTACTATGATGATTCTCCTAAAATAGTTCTACCACGAAGTGCTTGTGCTCCGTTATTCATTAAAGAAATTATTCTCTATTTTCATATATTACATGGGTACATTGGTATCAATAATACTTATCGATTAATAATGTCGAATTTCTGGTGGCCCAAGGCTCGTTCTGATATTAAACGCATTGTTAAGTCTTGTGAGGCCTGCCGGTTTACCAGATTTCCTAGAGTCGATAAGTCGAGGGAAAGGATTGTGGAGGACTGGAGGAAGCTTTGGCAAGAGCGTACGCCGCAGCGGGCTAACGAACCGAACGAGTTCGATGTGGGAGATAAGGTTTTGGTATGGACGCAACCGAGCCACAGATTCGACCGTATATGGCAGGAAGGTGAGATTATACGCAGGGTCGGTTCCCGTTGTTATGAAGTCAAGTCTAATGGTAACCGTTCCCAGCTCTACAGTGCTGATCACCTGAACGCCTTTCTTCCTAATGGACTTTATAATGACGACGAAAACCCCAAGATCACTGACGATGAGCTTTCTGTAGAGCCTACTCTGTCTACACGTTCACTGAGGCACACTAAATTTATATTGTGGAAAGATCCACAAGATTCTAAGAGTCATTACGGTAAGATTGAGCGTTGGACAGGTAGCGGTCAGTATATGGTCCACGAGTATCGTCTACTGGATGAACGACTTCTACCACTATGGATTGGTCCCGATGGTAAGCTATCAACTATCGGTAATGTCGCAGCCTTTGTGAGATTGTCCCCGAGGGATGTCAAGAAGATCAAAGTGGATGAGGTCACAAACACCCTACTAGAAGAGAGCTTAGATGAGGTGGCTCCTTAAGATGTCGCCACCTGAGGGGATGAGATTGTGACGTATTTTGACGTATTTACTAGAGTATTGAGATCGTGAGGCACGTAGCATTATTGGGCGTGCGCTTTTCCTCATATAGCGAATCGTATGGTTCTTAGAACCTACGTTTCTCGTTGTAAGTGTCTAGTATTGAGGTTCTGTAGCCATCTTGGCTCAAGATCTTAGTGTCGTGTTATTGGTCACCGCATGTCGTCGAGGAGTTCCTCAACACCGGCGGAGAGTTATGCGACAGGGAGTAGTGATTTCAAGTTAGATAGTCCCAGGAGAGTGGTACAAAAACCAAAGATATTCACCACATGAAGGCGGGCGAGTTTGTCTTCACCGTTAATAGGCTTTCACCATTTTTAGTGGGTCAGATACTCACGAATTCGGACTCACTCGCACTTCACCATTTTCAGGATTCACTGTTATCAGTCGCATGGCAATCGAATGAGTCCCGCCTGAAAACAGTGAATCCTGAAAAGGGTGGAGGGCGAGTGAATCCGTTTTAGGGACTTTTTCTCCCACTAAAGCGGGTGAAAGTCTGACAATAGTGAACAACAAACTCGCCCGCACCGGTATACCAAATGTCAGTAATTTCTCTACCACTCCTCCCCGAACCGATTCAACTTTCAATGATCACTCTCCCTCCGGTAATGTGTAAGTAGTCAGCTTGCTCACAGCAGCCGCAGCTTAAGACTATTGCGGATCGGGTCGCATATTATTATTATTATTATTATTATTATTATTATTATTATTATTATTATTATTATTATTATTATTATTATTATTATTATTATTATTATTATTATTATTATTATTATTATTATTATTATTATTATTATTATTATTATTATTATTATTATTATTATTATTATTATTATTATTATTATTATTATTATTATTATTATTATTATTATTATTATTATTATTATTATTATTATTATTATTATTATTATTATTATTATTATTATTATTATTATTATTATTATTATTATTATTATTATTATTATTATTATTATTATTATTATTATTATTATTATTATTATTATTATTATTATTATTATTATTATTATTATTATTATTATTATTATTATTATTATGTCATCTTTTCCACGCCTAGTTTTTCGTTGCGCCTCTTGAAGCGACTCCTCGGAAGTAGGAGCAACACGAACGGTCTAGTAATAGCTTTTGAGTCACCCTATGCCATGGTTGTGGACAGGAAGTAGTACTTCGGGAAGTACTGAATGGTGCTCTTTCTTCGGGATTCGGGATTCGGAAATCCGTGTTGTCGCCAGTTTTGATCAAATATTTTGTCTGGATTGAGTTTTCAATCCGTTACCAACTAGCTGAAATACACGATTGCCATAAGCAAAGCGTTTGAGTCCATAGTAGTGACTATAGAAGAAGTATGGGAACCTTGTTGATGAACAATTCTGGCAGTACAACAAGGATAAACAGCAATGCATGAGGCAACAGGTCCTAATGCCTGTTCCTCTTGAACATGAAGAAATACAACTTCTATACTGAGCTCCTGGATAGCATTGTATTACAACTCGTGGACCCGGCGTAACCGCTAAGGAGGCGTGCGAGCTGAGTTAGGTAAGCTTACTGGCCCTAGCTGGTCAATACCTCAAGTTGAGGTCTGTTGCCATTTAGCCGAGATTCAACTAGCCATAGTCTGTAACTCTGACTTTAACCTTCACGTGGACAGCACGCAAGCACCAGCCTATTGTACTTGCGGGCTCTTCCTTTTCAATAATACGTCTTTATTTCGTCTTCTCCCCATGAGTCGTGTTACAGAGCAGTTGCGCAACGATAACCTCAATGCTGCGGCGTCCGCGGAGATGGGCGTCATTACTCGACCTTCTCAGAAGCCGGGAAAAGCCACAGGGCCTCGTTACCATCGCCGCCAGTAGGGTACGAGGCCCGTTCTACTTCCACTGGTCGTAATTCATTAAAGTCTGCAACTAACTGTACACTTCCAGATGATTGCTCCGGGAGCCCCAATCAATCGAATGAGTCCCGCCTGAAAACAGTGAATCCTGAAAAGGGTGGAGGGCGAGTGAATCCGTTTTAGCGACTTTTTCTCCCACTAAAGCGGGTGAAAGCCTGACAATAGTGAACAACAAACTCGCCCGCACCGGTATACCAAATGTCAGTAAATGATACCAAAAAATAAATAATACCAATGGTAATGATACCAATAACAAAAAGTAAATGATACCATTTTTGATACCAAATGTATAACAAGCTTCCTCTGCGAAGATCTGGAAGGTCATGGCAAGACTAGTCCGTCAATCGGGGAATCTTCATCCCCATGGATCTTGCCGAGTATCTCGAGCTCCAGGTTTCGGAGGAGACTTGAGCCCAGGTTACTCAGTACTGTCTTTCTTTGAGTGATCGTCAACCATTCCGTCAAGATCATCGTGGTTATTTCTCGGCGCTTGTGCCGTTTGTGGGCGATGATAAGAGCAGGCTTCCGAACTACCAATCTTATTTCTGGGAGATTTGCTGCCCTAAACCTAAGAATATTCGCAAGGGTCACCAATATGCCACTAAGGTCTACGCCAAGTTGAGTGCGAAACAGCGGCTGCTGTATCAGTCACTGGTCTCCACGTGTCTCCCGAGGTCACTGGCGGCGCATGTCCTCCAAACCTCCAGCTGCTGCTGCTGAGGTTTTCCTGACCGGCTCGAGTAAAAATGGTCGTCTTGTTTGTGATTATAGGCCCTTGAACCAGGCGTTACCGTCGAGTTCCACTCATACTATCTTCATCCCTGTGCTCATGTGCTGTCTGAGGCTCCTTCGGCCAGCGGTACTGATCTTTGCAGATTGTCATTCAGCATTCTATATGCTCCGACATATGTATAGCCAACATCTATATATCCCGCCGATTGTTCGGCTCGGTCTTGAACAAGGTATCATGGTTTCGCGAGCTCGGCCAAGATGATTTCTCGGCGGACCAATGGAGATGTTGGATGGAAATACGTTCACGTTGGATCGACTTTATCAAGAACTCGGTATCATCTCCTTGTGAACATCTGATGCGAGCGCCTCTGGGGCAGGAGTGTTTATAGGCTTACGTCAAGGTGATGGGTCTCTGTTGCCCCTAGTCCGAGACGCGTGTTCTTGGACGGCTCTTCAGCAGCGGTATCACTCAAATCGTAGGGAGATGATGGCCCTTCATCGTGGTGTCTGTTGGTTGTCCCGTATCTCGAGGCAACTGTTTTCAATGTCCTTCAGTACCTCGCGGGTCGCGTTAGATCCACCAATCATCCAGTCTGACAACCACAGTACAGTCCGTTGGTGTCTTTCGTCTTGCAGCACTTTGAAGTTCACAGCGGTGGAACGCCACGCTCCGCATCGTCTCGCTTCGGCTCTAGGGAATGAGTTGGGCGAGATACGGAAGGCCTGCGGATCGTATGAAATTATGCATCTTCCTGGGACCCAGAATATCGTGGCCGACGACCTCAGCCGAGTACTGAGCACTGGGGCAAGGGACAAGCATCTCTACCACTGTTCCAACTGCTCAAACGTGCCACTGTTTCTGTCGATTATCCGTTCGCCGACGATATCTTCGTCCTGGCCGAAATTCTGGGAGCAGTCCAAGTCCATGACCTGTGTTTTGATTACTGTGGCCCTGGCTATTCTAGGCCGCACGAAGAAGAGCACCCGATATCCTCCTTGTCAGAGGTTGACGAGGCTGCTCTTTATGTTATACAGCAAGTTTTTCCGGAAGCCAGCTTCGCTATGCAGGAGAAGATCTTCGTGGATCGGTGTTTCGCAGTCAGCGACCAGGGACGAAGCTCCCTACTAAGCACCGATTACTCCGATGACAGTGAACCTTTGTCGTTGAAGCTGCGACGTAGCTGTTGGAGTCTGAGCCTCGCATGCCGTCAGGTTGCGGTCGCCCGCTGGTGTCTACGAGTTTGGCGGGTCGTCATTCATGACAAGTTTCGTCGCGGTCCTCGCGCGAGGGATTTTGCGTCTTTCCCTCAGAGTTGGGATCGGGATGACCTACTTGTTCTTCTCCGTATCGACCAAGGGAGAAATCCGCCCGTGGCTACTGTCCGAGGCAAGGACCTAGCAGACCCATACTATGACATTGAGGGAGTACTTACCTTCCGCTCTAGTTCTGCCTCCGCAGTAGTTCTCTTTCGGCCACTAATTAGCGGTCTCCTCCGAGATATGCTTCTTCGAGATGTCCACCGAGGTTATGGGCACTGTGGAGTGGACTATATGTGTGGTAAGGTTGGTCAAGGCTTCCATGCTGAGAGACTCCGATCCGCGACTGTAGCGGTGCGGCAGCACTGTGTCTTCTGTGCGACGTTCCCTAAGAACTGGGCCGTTCCGTGTGGGGGACCCTTTTTTGACATTAGTAGACTCATGAAACTGCCTGCTTACAGTGTCGTCGGGATCGACTACGTCTCCTTGGCACCTAAGGTCCAAGCCGTTGTCTGCATCTGTGCTGCAGCACGGCATTGTACTTTGTTAAGTACTCCCAGAGAGGACTCAAAGTGCTCTCTGGATTCTATCAAGGAGCTGACTTTGATGTTCGGCCGTCCATTGTGCGTCTTCTCAGACCGTGCGGCTTACTTTCGCAGCAGTTTATACTTGGATGGTCTCAAGAACTTGGGTATTCAAAGTGTGCATTTGGCTTCTCGCTCGCCATTTGAAGGGTCTCTATATGAGCGCCGAAAACAAGGAGTTCGCCGTCCACTTCGCTTCTTTGGTGAGTTGCCATTACTCAGGCGACTATTCGCCACATTTGATTCTGACGTTGCTTCCTTGCGGATGTTGTTGATGGAGATTTCGCTCATTATGAATCAGCGACCGCTCGGTATCAGCAGTACTGGTGAGGAAGTGAATACTATATGCCCTGATAGTCTGTGTTTCGGTTATATCCGACGAACAGATCGCCTCACTGAGCCCTTGCTCGAATTGTCTCAAGATGGTGTTCGCTGCGATGGGGATGATGATCCCGGTATCGACCTCCTCATCAAATCTTCTGCTGTTCGTCAAGGTGGTCCGGGTTTCTTACCTGGAGGCGCTCTCGGGACGCCTCCTAGGCGATTGTCAGCTGTAAGAAACTATTTTCTCTCTTTTCATTTTCAGTGGTTGAAGGATCGTTCCACCCGCAATGCCCGGGGTGGCAGTAGAGGTAGAGCGGGAGTTCTTTCTTTCGCTGCTGATGAGTTGGTCTTTGTCAAGAGCGGCAAGTCTATCAATCCTGCTCGGGTTGTGAAGACTCTCCCTGGCTCTGATGGTGTTGTTAGACGTCTCTTAGTACGTAACATCAAGTCAGGTCGAGAATCCACCGTCTCTCATCATAATGTCGCTAAGTCCTGCATAGAGTCAGATCTTGAGGTGTAGTTGGCTATTGAATCTGGAGACCGTAGATATGTTGCCATTTAGCCGAGATTCAACTAGCCATAGTCTGTAGCTCTGACTTTAACCTTCACTCATTCTTTCACGTGGAGAGCACGCAAGCACCAGATTATTGTACTTGCGTGCTCTTCCTTTTCAATAATACGTCTTTATTTCGTCTCCTCCCCATGAGTCGTGTTACAGAGCAGTTGCGCAACGATACGAACAGGCAACAGTCCTCAACTGCCGCGGTTGAACCTGTACCAAAATCGATATCTCACTGCTATAACTAGATAAGCCAACTCGACTCCAGCTCTTGTAATATACCAACTAACTTAGTGATACGGTAGTGGCACTAGCCGGTTGTAGGGTATTTAGTTACTGTCGATCGATACCACGAATATAAGACGGAGGCAAGTCAAGACAGTTAGACCGAAGGTCGATAGAACCGATCTTCTAACCGAACCGAACGAAGATAAATAAACGAAGAAGAACTGAGATAACTCAGATAATAATAGAACTATGTCACACTTATACTCGATCGATCAGACTCTTGATAACACCGGGTGAAGCCGCTGGATGAAGCCTTGCACGCAAACTCATCTTCATGAACACAAACTCATATTCACGCACCCAGGCCCGGTCCAGCATAAACCGCGTCTCAATTACAAAATTGCCATGACGATCAAAAGATTTGAACCTTGGATAGTCGGCTGCTACCTCTAACGCCTAACCGCTAGACCAACCGGTCGATTACAACATATATGACGTAAGGGGATCTCGACTTGAATTTTGGTGGCGCTCGCTCGTGGAGCGCGCAAGTTCCTTCACTGTTATCAGGGTTCACGGGAAATTTTTCCGGTTCACCATTTCCAGGATTCACTGTTTTCACGGACAACCATCGAATGAGTCATGAGCAAAATTCATGATAACCTATTGGTCGATGTTCTTCACTGTAACTGTCACGAAAGATCTTTCGTAGTGCGCCACATGAAACGGTCATTGCGGCACCCACAACTAACCTTGTCTACTGCGTAAACATCATCAAAGCTTTCAATCATCATGTTAAGATGTGACACCACGTGATAATGAATTAGGTGATGACAGTAAGTGAGGCCGTACATATTATTGTTGGCAGCAGCAGCAGCAGCAGCAGTACATCGGATGATAGACATGAGGGTTATAATACCATGGGTTGGGTATAACTCGAACCCTCACCACCTTCTCATGACCCTTTATTTCACCCGAGGTTTCTATTCATGATTCCCATATGGATCATTGTATCGTGCTTAGAAAGTCACCAAGGCACGCTTCACCGCAACGCATTAGTTATTTGGGAATGTTGGGTGAGACTGCGTGTAAGCCAATAGGCAGCAGAGGGCGGTGATAATACCGAACCTCACAACACGCCGTGCATTGGCTTAACACCACAGTCACGTTGCCTGGCACGCAGGCACATAGCTACTTGTCTCCTGTGGAACGATCGAAGCCTAGCCTGATCTTTGTCAAGAGCGGCAAGTCTATCAATCCTGCTCGGGTTGTCAAGACTCTCCCTGGCTCTGATGGTGTTGTTAGACGTCTCTCAGTACGTAACATCAAGTCAGGTCGAGAATCCACCGTCTCTCATCATAATGTCGCTAAGTCCTGCATAGAGTCAGATCTTGAGGTGTAGTTGGCTATTGAATCTGGAGACCGTAGATATGTTGCCATTTAGCCGAGATTCAACTAGCCATAGTCTGTAGCTCTGACTTTAACCTTCACTCATTCTTTCACGTGGAGAGCACGCAAGCGCCAGATTATTGTACTTGCGTGCTCTTCCTTATCAATAATACGTCTTTATTTCGTCTCCTCCCCATGAGTCGTGTTACAGAGCAGTTGCGCAACGATACGAACAGGCAACAGTCCTCAACTGCCGCGGTTGAACCTGTACCAAAATCGATATCTCACGGCTATAACTAGATAAGCCAACTCGACTCCAGCTCTTGTAATATACCAGCTAACTTAGTGATACGGTAGTGGCACTAGCCGGTTGTAGGGTATTTAGTTACTGTCGATCGATACCACAAATATAAGACGGAGGCAAGTCAAGACAGTTAGACCGAAGGTCGATAGAACCGATCTTCTAACCGAACCGAACGAAGATAAATAAACGAAGAAGAACTGAGATAACTCAGATAATGATAGAACTATGGCACACTTATACTCGCTCGATCAGACTCTTGATAACACCGGGTGAAGCCGCTGGATGAAGCCCTGCACGCAAACTCATCTTCATGAACACAAACTCATATTCACGCACCCAGGCCCGGTCCAGCATAATCCGCGTCTCAATTACAAAATTGCCATGTCGATCAAAAGATTTGAACCTTGGACAGTCGGCTGCTACCTTTAATGCCTAACCGCTAGACCAACCGGTCGATTACAACATATATGACGTAAGGGGATCTCGACTTGAATTTTGGTGGCGCTCGCTCGTGGAGCGCGCAAGTTCCTTCACTGTTATCAGGGTTCACGGGAAATTTTTCCGGTTCACCATTTCCAGGATTCACTGTTTTCACGGACAACCATCGAATGAGTCATGAGCAAAATTCATGATATTCTATTGATCGATGATTTTCACTGTAACTGTCACGGAAGATCTTTCGTAGTGCGCCACATGAAACGGTCATTGCGGCACCCACAACTAACCTTGTCTACTGCGTAAACATCATCAAAGCTTTCAATCATCATGTTAAGATGTGACACCACGTGATAATGAACTAGGTGATGACAGTAAGTGAGGCCGTACATATTATTGTTGGCAGCAGCAGCAGTACATCGGATGATAGACATGAGGTTTAGTGTTCCCGGCCTGTGTAGACCGTTTACTAGAATCAGCAGGATTATCACCACCCTTAGAACTCGACGGATACTGTGACATAAGAGAAGGTAATTAAAATTGAGCTTGTATCTAGTTCATACATTACAATAAAACTTCCGTAATAACGACTAGCTTTACGCTAGGGGACAATACACAAGGGCGCTATAGTATCATTGACTTGCACACGCCACAGAGACATACGAACACAATGATGTATCCTAGCAAATGAGAGAGGCGGTTTACTACATTACAGCCCCCCTAAATAACCATCACGATCTAGCAACCTTCTTAGCTCGTTCAACAGTCTCCATCAGACCAGGAGACTCACCACGTAGACGTTTCGAAGAACGCACAGGCAAAACATCCTTAACTCGATTCTCTTCTCGTAAAGCTTGTTGAGTACGTTCTTCAGAAGCTACTGCTGCTTGGCGACGTCCATCTGGTTCAAGAGTCTTAAACCGTTTAACGTTACCAAGCCAGTGCATCTCAACACCAGAAGAAGTAGTAACCAAAACATGACGACCACGAACTGAAAGCACTGGAAAAGGACCACGGAACGTAGGAGAAAGCTTATTCACACGTTCTGTGAAGACATAAACCAACACACCAGGCTTCAAGTTCGACTCATATCGAATAGTCGGACGAGACCGTTCTCGTTGATCAAGCCATTCATTAAGAAACATAGCCAACATCTTCTGTCGCTGACTATCAACCCGACCGACAATCTTAAGGAGATCACATAAAGACTGTGGCTGCTCGATCGTGATGTCATCATCAACGCCCCTCATACAAGGAACAGGAAGCACCCGACCATAAAAGAGCAGTGCCGGACAGATTCCACTCTCACCAATCTCAGAATGATTAACCAACCATTTAACCTGGGCAAGGATCAGCTCATCAGACCACAACGATCCACTTGCTAGAGTAAACTTCCTCATAGCCTCAACGATCATTCGATGCCGTCTCTCATAAAATCCTCCACTCTGTGGATGATTCGCAGCATGGATGGTCCACGAAATACCAACCTCTTTACTCCACGACTGAACTTCTTGAGAATTAAACTCACCATCAGAGAATACACATCGCGGCCATCCACATCGCATGAATAATATACACAATCCACGGATGAAAGAGCTTGCCTTCGTATCAGGAATAGGCTCGAAATCACAGAATGAAGTATACCAACATGTAGCTGTCAAAAGCTTACCACCACCACCCATGTGAACCACATCTACCCCGACTCTCAACCAAGCCGTCGGAGTATCCGAAGTAGGTCTCCTAGTACCATGAGGTGCAAACTCCCTACCAGCTTGACTAGCTGTCAACTGACAAGTTGGACAGGCCTGAGCCACAGCACGACATAAATTACCAAGCTTGGGAAACCACGCCCAAGACTGGAGAAAGAACTTCAACTGTCGTCCATTAGCATGAGTATCCGCATGAGCTTGCTCAACAAGATGTCTACGACAAGATTTAGGCAGTAATAGTTGCTTAACAAGAGTACCAGTAGGACTGAACCGTTGCACACGATACACCGTCCCATCAGGGTCAGAGAGGAAACCAGACTGCCCTTTCAAAGCCACAACCTCTGGACACGTCAACTGTTGTCTTCTTACCTCGTCAAGATCACAGAATTTGGGGCAAACGAAAGGTTCCACCACAATATCATTCCAAGACTCTACATCATCATCAATAACACAGATACTCTCATCATCAAGATCATTAATGGTAGCTAGCATACATGACAGAGGGTTCAAAGTAACCACCAAACCGTCTTGGCGATCACATTCCAAAGTGTCAGCTTCCTCCTTGGAAATCCTAGCCATAGCGTCCACCAGAGATATACAAGATGATCGATTGACCCATAACGTACCAACCACAGACCGTTGGTATTCCATAACCATATTCATCTCATACTCATCAGCACAATGATTAGTTTCCAGTGAATGCCAATGTCGGTCACCAACAGAATTCATATTATCACCGACCATAATAACTGGCTCCATACACAGTGGTAAGAAACGATGAAGCGACATTAACTGAGCTTTACGTTCCCTGAAAGTAGAGGACTTCTTCATATCATTATTAGATAAGGAGCCCCCATCCAAACACAATGGCAGCAACATAAGAACTTCATCACCACATATACTAATATGCAGCAGATCGGTTACACGGGGAATAACATTCTCGAGCTCCGCCATCCAGCCCATCGCTGTAGCTCCCAACGAACGCATCTCCCACCGAGGTATAGCTACCAACTGAAAGAGGATACTAGACCATACCTCTTTATTGCAGTCGGTCATGATCACACTCGCTAATACCTTAAAAGTATCAGAATGTCCGAAGACATATAGACATGCGAGACCACTAAAATAATAGTCTGCAATTTCTCGAACCAGCGAGAAAGCTTCATTACCATCAGGAGAGACCTTATGCAATCTGGAGAGAACAACTCTGGCTCTAGGGGATAACCACCTCGAAAGCCATTGAAATTTACCACTCCACGAGCGTATCCATTTCTTCTTCTCCTCAACATCGGTGATCCTTTCAAAGTCAGCACACGAAGCATTAACTATAGCAGTAGTCAGAACTTTCCGTTCTGAAGGACGAACTTCTCCTCGCAGACACTTAAGACCACAGAAAACTACTTCATCACCAAGTTGACATTTATGTGGAGCCACTTGGAAACCTCTCTCTACAAAGAGACGCTCTACCAACTCCTTCACTTTGGAAACCACCGTCAACGAGGAACCTCCACCCAGTATATCATCTTGGAAATGAGTAAGCTTAACATCATAACCAAGACGCTTACATTCAGCTCTAGCTGCTTCTAATACATCCGAGACCACTCTCGAGAATAAAATCGGAGAGTACCGAAATCCTTGAACAATAACGGTACAGCACCAAACATGTTCCTGACCAAATTCATCATAGGTCTTACAACAGAATAACGGCCAAAGATCCTTAGCGGTTCTTACTGCCGAAAATGCATCCGACAGATCCAATTTGAAATAAAACCGTCGTAAATGACCCGGCCATTCACGAAGAGTAAGGAAGGCATTAGTCTGACTCTGAGTAACAGAAGATTCCAACTTCCACGTTTCCGCCATCTCCGTCGGCAAAACCCACATATACTCACCAGGAGAATCAGGCTTCTTAACAAGCCTCATACAATTCAATCTTCGGCAGTCAAGAGTCACTCGAAATCTCTTCTTAATCTCATCGTCAGTCATATCATAAATAGGAATCACAGACGAACCATCTCCACTTGAGGAACCCTTATCAACCAGAACAACCTCGTTTATGACGGTCGCTGAGGCAACATCAATAGGAGCAAACTTTCCTTCACGAGCAGCGATAAGAATCCTCCTATGAATAGCAATTTCTTTACTTCGGCTCCTCCTTCTCCGAGGCTCAGCATAAGGCATTACCGAACGAGCACTCATTACAGGACAATCTACAGTATAACCATGGTCATCCAGAGTCATATTAGTCGCAGCTCTGACCTCATCCGGTTGAACTACTGCAATATGGTCATTGACATCAATGGTATCAGAAGTCGCACCATCAATAGCTATGCTCGATATACTAGCAAGTAGCATTGACTGAAGTAGAGTAGAACGTTTTATAGTCTCAATACCAACAATGACAAGGGGAGTTAATCCCTCAATCACCTTGAATTGAACCGATTTCACCAACTCCTTCTTGTCACCATCCTCTAGAGAAGCAAAGAAGCAACCTAAAGCAGCTACACGTTCACCGTTACCAAAAGTAACACCTTGGCAAGTACTCAAGGAATCATCAAATAAACCCTCACTTTTAATAGCACGATACAGATCAGCATTAATATATGCTGTACCTTGACCACCTGTATCCAACAGTGCAGCAACCTTAGCACCCCATTGAGAACATCGAGGTTCCTGACGAATAATCAGGTCAACCATACAATGTCTCTTACCACTCACTATAGCTGAGATAACCGATACTTTCTCAAATCCTCGAGTAGCAACATTAGCAGGATCTTGATCAGAACTTTTATTACCAATAGGTTTAGTAGTTGCTGGTACAGCAACTGCTGGCGCTACATTCACAGAGCTCGGACTCAATTGCTGAGAAGCAACTACAGATGAAGGGTCCACAGATTTTGGAACATCAGCATTAACTATCTGAGTCGGCTGAGATCTCACTTTAGCCTTCCAAAGATCACAATCTCGCTTCATATGACCAGCACCATTACAGTACCAACACTTGATAGGGACCTTAACTCTAACTTGAGCACTTCCTTGACTCTGAGGTCCTTGGCCCACTTGAGAACCTTCAACATTAACCGAGTCTTCACCAGTACTAACAACATTTACAGTAGCACCAGACTCACTATTGGAGGCTTCCCAAAGAGTTAAGACGCTACATAATTCGTTGGTATCACGAATATGAGCATAAATAGTCTTCACCGCTTTCTGATAATTTGGTCGTAACCCACGAACAAACTTATCCAGCAATTCATCATTGGCAATACTAATACCTAAGCATCGACCTTCCGCTAGAGATTCCCTCAGGCGACCAATATATTCACCAATAAGTTCATTGGTCTTCTGCTTAACTTGAGCAAGTCGTTGACGATACTTCACGGTATCATCCGTGATACTGTAAGCACCTCTCAAAACATCTCAGCATGTTGCAGTCGCTGCTCAACCGAAGCAGAAACTAAAAGACCCTTTTCTTCCAAGCTATCCATCAGCTCTGATCGTACACTAGCATTGATACATCTCAGAAGATACCTCCAACAATTAGCCGTCGATAAACCATAAAGACGACACATTTGGAGCCATTCTCGCACAAAATAAGATATAGATCTTGTATCACTACGGCCATTAAAACATTGACCACCACCAGGTATAGGTAAAGAAGAAACCATACCTACCGATTTGATGTTGAGAGAATCATCAGCATCACCTTGCTCCATACATAGATCATGAATGCTAGAACCACATCCATTATCACTTCGTCCACCTAACCCAGGCGTAGGAAGAGGCCTATGATATCGAGCATAGTCCAACCGAGAAGGTACATGAGGAACATTCACCTGGGCAGCAGCAACGTTAGGGACTTCAGCCAAAACCGACTGATATAGAAATCGAAGTTGCAGACGTTTGTCCAGATCCTCACCAGAAGTTTTAGTCACAAGAGCTTCAACTTCTTCAGATTTAAGCAGATGAATGAGTCTAGCATCAAGGCCAACAGCCTTAGCAAACTCACTCCGAGCCGAAGAAACACCACCTTCTGATCGATGTCCGGGGCCAGTAAGAGCAAGATATCCTGCATCGGGTACCAATTTAGTGTTCCCGGCCTGTGTAGACCGTTTACTAGAATCAGCAGGATTATCACCACCCTTAGAACTCGACGGATACTGTGACATAGGAGAAGGTAATTAAAATTGAGCTTGTATCTAGTTCATACATTACAATAAAACTTCCGTAATAACGACTAGCTTTACGCTAGGGGACAATACACAAGGGCGCTATAGTATCATTGACTTGCACACGCCACAGAGACATACGAACACAATGATGTATCCTAGCAAATGAGAGAGGCGGTTTACTACAAGGGTTATAATACCATGGGTTGGGTATACCTCGAACCCTCACCACCTTCTCATGACCCTTTATTTCACCCGAGGTTTCTATTCATGATTCCCATATGGATCATTGTATCGTGCTTAGAAAGTCGTCAAGGCACGCTTCACCGCAACGCATTAGTTATTTGGGAATGTTGGGTGAGACTGCGTGTAAGCCAATAGGCAGCAGAGGGCGGTGATAATACCGAACCTCACAACACGCCGTGCATTGGCTTAACACCACAGTCACGTTGCCTGGCACGCAGGCACTATAGGCAATGTCCCACAAACAACTAGTGAAGGTAAAAGAAAAATTCCCGGGTGGAACCGGCTCGAGAGCGTTCTTTTTTCTCCTTCTGGAAATGCCCTCCCCCCAGTCCACGCGGGAACCCTGGTGCCCTGCTCCCTCAGCACAGGAGATGCAGGACCAAATACAAGGGAGGAAACGCAGGCCTACTTGTCGCGGCACAGCTTCTGCGGCAGCGATAGCAAGAAGGCGTTACCGCAGGTCTGAGAGAAGGAGAATACACCGGCAACAGACCCGAGCCTGGAGGAAAATTTCTCGTTCCCCCTGTTTTGACCAAGGGTTTTGTTGCTCTGTTTTGTTGCTCTCACTCAAGATCACGGTACGGCGCTATCTTGCGATCAGCGCCGTACCCTTAACTGGTGTGTGTGGACAGTTTTAAGTGGCGTTCGCATAGCGAAATTAGTAGGACTCTTCCTCTGGACGAAAGTGAACACTGGCTGTGCTGCATCTCTTCTCGTATCGGGCGCTGGTTATGGGTCGAGATTGTGGACAGCCTCGGCTCTCGCGACAAAGTTAAAGAGTTTACCGGCTGTAAGAGGCATGAGACATACGAGGCTCTCAGAAGCTGTTGGTATGCTTCAGGCAGTAGAGAGGGACTGTTGCATGTGTGCCTTATCTTCCACATGCCTTCGAACGATCAAATCTGCAATGAAACCCGAATGCAAGGTTTTCCCTTTTCCGGTTATTCACTCCGTCATGTGGAGGGTCATACGAGTCGCTGACTGTGCTAACCTACTCTATAATAAAACTCTGACAAAGCGACCCTGTCACCCCTCACCTGACTACTCGAAGGTGCGTTTTCTCTCCTGGAACACTGGTGGGCTTACAGTTGACGCCGTTCGTCTCATTGCGGAAGGCCTTGACGGCAGAAGGTTTGATTGTGCAATCCTCGAAGAGACTCAAGGCGCCTCCCACCGTTTCAAGGACCTCTATGACAATGTCTCCTTCTTAACAGTGAATCCAGTCAAGAGGAAGGGTGGAGTGGACATTGCGGCGCGGAAAGGAACAGCTGTCCGTACAGTGCAACAACGGGGAGTGAACGGGACTGGGCTGTTGGGATCTACGAAACATGTGGTGTTGTGGTATGCTCTGCATATGCATGTCCCCTCAGCACACAAAGTCCTCGACACTACGAGCGTTTAGATGCTATTTTTTTTGGCTCTCTCATCAGTAGTGGGAAGTAATAAGCCCGGCATAGTTGGTTCTGATCTTAATGTAGACATTTCTCGTGATGCTGGTGGTTGTTTGAGTGGCAGTGCAGAGTCTCTCCACGGCTTTATCACTGGTGACGGACCCTTCAGACGCCTTTGTGATGAGTCGCCTACTCGATCTCGGTCAGGTCGTAAGATCGACTATGTTCTTACTCTTGAGTCATTAACTCATCTCTTCCCCAATCGGTTTCATACCCTCGACCCCCAAGGATGTTCTGATCATGATCCTCTCCTAGGTTTTGTAAACCTCACAACACCTGGCTCGAAGTCATGGCCTAGGCTACCTTACTCGGCCTCTCAACTGCAATCGTCGCCTGAGAAGGCAGCCTCTTTCTGTGCTACACTTATTCGTCGACTTGACACCGATGATGAACACCCGACCTTAGTCTCCTTGTGTTCCCTATTACGTGGTACTGACTCTGAAGTCGCCCCTATCTGCCCAGGCAAGGGAAATATGGTAGTGAATAAGTTCCGTCGCCAGATTCAGTATGTCAGCCGGTGACCCCGATGCCTTATCCGTGGTTTGGTTTCGGGTTCAGTTGCCAGTGCTGCCCGTACTGAATGCAATCGTCTTCGGCGTGACCGTTTAGTTAAACTCACCGCTGATACTGATGGATGTTGGAAAGCAGCTAAGATATGTCGCCGGAATAAGGGAGGCGTATCGTTAGACCCTGATCAGTGCGCTGAGGATTGGAAGGCTATTTGGCAGTCCAAGTTTCCGCCTATCCCATCTTCGGAGTGGATCATGCCTTCTAACGCAATTGGTGAGGTCGATCGAAACTTTACTATAAATGAAGTTAGGTCTTGTCTGCAGCGGGCCCCCACTAGCAAAGCAGCTGGTCCGGATCTAGTCCATGGATCACTTCTGCGTTTGGCTTCCTGTAATGACCTCGTTCGCAAGATCGTTGCATCTCATCTGAATGGTGTTTTAGACGGTAGTTTGAACCTAGATGAACTCTTGTCGGCCACATGCGTTCTTCTTCCTAAGAAATCTAAACATAATAGAGGTTCAGAGTGTCGGCCGATTAGTCTCTTGTCGCTCAAATGCCTTGAACAATGTGTCCTGAGTAGAATCTCTTCCATTGTTAATGAGGTTTTTTCTTGGGAGCAGGCTGCTTTCGGAAAGCGTCGCTCTTGTATCACTCAGGCTTTTGTCGTCTAGAGTGCCCTTTGCTGGCAGAAATCCGAACTGCTTCTCTCCAACGAAACTCTCTGCTAGAGGCTTAAGCCTCTGCCCCAAAACTCGGGAATAAACCTTGCCGATATGATCGAGCAGATTTATCCCCCTATAGTTGCCTGCTACCTTCCTATGGCCTTTCTTATAGAAAGAGATAATAATGGAATGTCTTGAAGCTCTGGGAATAGTCCCCGGTTCACTCCACCACTCTCTGCACAAGCGGTGTAAGATCCTCAGACTATGCTCATCACCGGCTTTCAAAGCTGATGTGAGCACCCATTTGCTCCGGGAGCTTTACCGTTATCCATAGAGCAGAGAGAGTCCTTCACCTCATCCAAGGTGATGTCATCCCCTCCCGTGCGCTCTATTGGGAGGTCGACTGGCTCAATGCAGGTAGAGTGCAAGTTTTCGGAGCGAATAGTTGCTGCAAAATCTTGCAAACACCTGCGGAGAGAGAAGATCATGTCGTCTGTGGGTCAGTGTGAAGCCTTGACATTCCCAACAGCGTGTTGAGCTTCCGCGTTCTCAATCTGTGAGCACTTCAGCTCTATAAAATCGGTTTTAGCTTTTCTCACTACTTCCACCACGTTACTGCGAGCTTCGCGGTATGACTTGAAAGCTTCTGGTGTCTTCCTAGATAGTAACGCCTCCCATTTCAGTCTCTTCTCGCTAACTGCAGCTGCAACATGAGATGCAGAGAACCAGGGCTTTTTAAAACACGATTTTACCCCATCCAGCTTACGCATGGGAGCTTGAAATGCATGGACTACGTCTGAGTGGGCACCATCCTGAGGACAAGTATGGATCATACCCATCTCGAGCTCATGCTGGGCTTCCTTTTCGCGGACCTTCGCAATAAAAGCCCGTCTATCAACGATAGGACGTGAGGCTAATTTCCGTCCTTGGAGACGCCGGGTGGGCCGACAAGTTGTTGTGTTACGAAATGAGAGTCCTAGTGCACAGTGATTAGATGAACCCATGACTGTCTGTCTCACACGAACATCCAGCACTTGTAGTTTCCTGTTGCTGCGGATCAGGAAGTGATCTAGCTGATGCCAGCACTTCTCTACCGGGCGAGCCACGTCCCAAGGTGAGTTTGGGGCTTGGGAAAAGGACTCACTGCATGGCCAGTATGTGAGGCAGCAGCAAGCATGACTAGTCTTCATCCATTGTCATTGGTCTCTTCATAGGCATAAGCCTTGCCGAGGCCGTGGATCGGATCCCTCGCGAGATCTGAATCTAACCTGGCGTTGAAGTCACCGCAGACAATTTCCGGACTTTTTAGTCTCACCACTTCTTCGACAGCATCCCAAGACTCATCCTTTTGACCCTGCGGCGGTACCTCTCATACATCGGACCGAGGCTCGATTGGATCGAGATATCGAAAATCGATCGATTGTTCGGTGCTAATCAATCGAGGATGCTGCGGCGGGCAGACGAATCGATTCGATTCGAGGAATCGATCCACCTCGAAACTCGAAATTCATTGAAATGCTCTTCTACGTCAGCATTGAGGGTTACTTATAGGGTCTACAGCACCTGTCATATTATTGCAACAATTCAGGATGCCTTTAGCAAAGCACTTCCACGAGAAGAAAAAGTAAGGGTCGAGGCTAGACCGCTCAGTTGATAGCCACAGGCACTGGGAGGCTGTCTGATTATCTGACTCGGATAGACTCCATCAGCGAGATACTGAATATCCGCGCACGACCTTGCTGTTCGCCCGAGGCGAATCGCTTTGCTGTGGCACGCTGCCAATTGCGGCGACAGCCAGATATTCTGCAGATGCCGATTCCCCGGGTCGGAAGGATGGTATTCCCCGGGTTCGGTCAGATTGCGCGTTTGCCTCGAGCCTCGACGAACCCTCGAGATTGTTCTTCGGTAATTCAGAAGAAGATTATCCAAATACTATTTCTGAGCATAATCCACACCGCAAATTCAATATCCCTAGTAGCGGCTACTAAGTAGCCTAATAACTCTAATAGTTATCGCATATAGCATAGGTTCAAAAATCCGGATTCTTCGCCCCGCCCCTAAATTACTCAATCCGCCCCTAAATATGCCACATGCGTTCTAAAGTTGGATGAGTCATCCGCTATCGTTACAG